CGATTGTTCATGCGCATAACCACCTGACCAAGGATGTGGGTATAGCAATCACACGTGGGTTTCCGAAAATTTGGGGTGCCTTCTTGGGGTCCTTATTATAAAGGGAATCCTACTGTTGGGGGGGGGGGGGGGGGGGGGTGGGTTTTTTTAAGGGGACCCTGATTTTCGCAAACCCCCATATGGCTTCAGCAACGAGCAAGCTTGCTTACAGTGACCTTATACATGTTGTGTTGTCAGTTGCAGAATCAAATTTAAGCCAACCCAACATGTCCAAATCCAAATCCCAAACTCCAAAAGATCCAAAGCTGCAATCATTACTCATGCCCGACATCCTGAACCCTGGTTAAATCCGTCCGAATGCCTGAACCGTGAGCCCGTTCTGCACAAAAACATACAATGCGTGTGGGGATCTGGCTGTGCGCGCAGGTACTTCGCAAGCGACGAATCTTGCCCGCACTTTGAAACGCAGGGTGTAGCGCCTTTCGGCTTTGCGGGTTCTACATGGGGGGATTTACTTGGTAAGCCCCTGGGATGTTTTCGTATTTTCCTTTATTGGGTTTAAGAGGATCATAATCATAAACCCTAAGCCTTAAACCCCTAACCCCTAAACCCTAAACCCTCCCAAGACCCTAAGCCCTTCGAAGTCCAAGAATTCAATTAATCACTAGGATTTAGGGTTTAGGGTTTTGAAAGAACTTGAAGGTTAAACATATCGAAGGTACACAGGCAAACAGCTTCGCGCCGGTTGCTCTGCGTGAGCAGGGTGCTGAAAGCATTCGTGTCCTTTCGGATAGGAAATGCATCGTGATGAGGCGCACAAAAATCTGCAGTCGACCGTGCGGCGCGGGAAAGCGTTCGACAGAAAAAACGGCATTTCAGATCAGTTCATATCTGGGCACCAGTGAGGACGTGAGCCTGCAGCTACCTAAGGTACACTGAAACCCTAAACCCCCAAACCTAAACACTAAACCCTAAACCCTAAAGCCTAGAGTGGATGTTGGAGCGTTCAGTTTTTGGAGAGTGCCAACGTTCGAGGCTTGGGGTGTTCGGGCTTGAAAGCTGCTGAAGTGCTGGAGTGTCCGAGCTTTGGGCGTCGAGGGCTTTAGGGGGCTTAGGGTTTTAGGGTTTTAGGGTTTTAGGGTTTTAGGGTTTTAGGGTTTTAGGGTTTTCGGGTTTCAGGGTTTTAGGGTTTTAGGGTTTTAGGGTTTTAGGGTTTTCGGGTTTCAGGGTTTTAGGGTTTTAGGGTGTTAGGGTTTTAGGGTTTTAGGGCTTTAGGGTTGAGGGCTTTACGGGCTCAGGTGCTAGCGCGAAGATGCTGTCGAACCGGCGTGGCCTGGCAGGAAAAATAGACGCATGGACAGCTGTCCTTAGTAGCTGAGTGAGCACACTTTGCACTTTTTGGGATACTATATATAATCCCCTATCGAACTGAAGGTGTACACTTTTTTTTTTTTGGGGGGGGGGGGGGGGGGGGGGGGGTATGAACTTAGCAACTAAGTGTCAAAGCATGGGCAGAGATGCGCTTAGGGGCTTCGGCTGCTGGGAGACCAGGCCCCCCTTCCCTTGAAAGAAGGTTTTAAGGCCGCCATCCAAACGTGAGAGGCGTCGGCATGTTGGGAAGTCAGACTTTCCCCCCCAAGAAAATAAAAGGCAGCAATCCCTAATAATCACTGCCCTTCTAAGGCAGAAGCTTCTCATTTTTGTTGGGGGGGTTTTTTAAGCGAGTAAGTAGCTGAGGGTTTATCTTCAGACCGGGCCTTGCATGAATTTCTAGAGCCCTGGTGCCTCAAAGAGAGAAGCAAACCTAAGCCCTAAAACCCAAGAATAGTAAGTTCGTAGATAAACGAGAGAGAGAGAGAAAGAGAGAAGGAGAAGGAGAAAGAGAGAAAGAGAAAGAGAAAGAGAAAGAGAAAGAGAAAGAGAAAGAGAAAGAGAAAGAGAAAGAGAAAGAGAAAGAGAAAGAGAAAGAGAAAGAGAAAGAGAAAGAGAAAGAGAAAGAGACAAAGAAAGAGAAAGAGAAAGAGAAGGAGAAAGAGAAAGAGACAGAGAGAGAGACTAAACCCTGCACCCAAGACCCTACACCCAAAACCCTGCACCCTAAACCCTAAACCCGAAACCCGAAACCCGAAACCCTAAACCCTAAACCCCAAACCCCCCCCCCCCCCACAAAAAAAAAAACAAGAAGAAGAGCCCCAGGCCTCGCCTGGCTCCGCGCGCTGGGCGCCAGCAGCTCCGAGTGCGCCTCCACCCTGGCCTCCCTGCGGCGGGGGCTCGAGGAGCTGCAGGCGATTTGCTTTGTTTTGGTTTTGTTTTTGGGGTTTAGGGTTTCGGGATTAGGGTTTAGGGTTTAGGGTTTTGTTTTTCGGTTGCCTTCCATTACGGACCCGAGGGTTTGGGCAGGCAGGTTTCCGAGTTTTCGGCCGGAGGGGTGGGGGGGGTGCGGGTGTGGGGGGGGGGTGGGGGGTGGTGGGGGGGGTGGGGGTGGTGGGGGGGGTGGGGGGTGGTGGGGGGGGTGGGGGGGCCGGGGGGGGTGGGGCGATTGGGGGGTAATTTCGTCCATCAATATGGCGATCCTGCCCAAACCATCGGTATTTGCGGCGTTTTTGCCAAGGGATGTTTGACGTTTGTGGAGCAAGACACGCGGTCACAAGCGCTCGTGCCCTTGGCGACAATGCCCCAAACACTGGTATTTACAGCATTGTTGCTTCTCTATACAACATATCATGGAAGAAGACACGCGGTCACAAGCACTAGTGCCTTTGGCGAAGACGCCACAACACTGGTGTTTGCAGCATGTTTGCCTCTCTGTACACATTTTTGCCCCTTTGTACAACATAAGCGCAAGAACGCTGTGCGCAGTGTTTTCGTGCGAAAACAGCGTTCGAAAAGCAAGCGCTTTTTTGGGGTGCCATGCGCGCGTCTCGACAACATCGCTGTGCGCAGTGTTTTCGCGCTCACGGGCACCGAACCCATGGTGCCAGTGGTGATTTTGACCATAGTCAAAATGCGTCCCGCGAATGCGAACCACAAAACCTCGAGTTTTCGGCGCTTTCCTGCGTCCGACAGCAGCAAGACACGTGCAAAACGCACGGGTCCGCAATGGCAGACGTTACCTTTAGGGTTTAGGGTTTAGGGTTTGAGGTTTGGGGTTTGGGGTTTGGGGTTTGAGGTTTTGGGTGGGGATTGGGTTTAATTAGGCTTTGTCCAGTTGAACAGGGGGGGGGGACGAGGCGTTTTGAGGTTTGTCAGGGTGTTTTTGTTTTTGTTCGTTTCAGGTTTTAAGGGTTTCTGAGTTTGTTGTTTTTGTGTTTTCAATGTGGTTTTAGGTTCTTTTGTTTATGCAGGTTCTTAGGGTTTTTGAGGGCTTTTCGGGTTTTTCGAGGTTCTTGAATGTGTCTAGGGCTGTTTTGGTTTCTTCAGGAAACACGAGGAGCTGCGGCGGTTGGGCCTAGAGCGGCAAAGTTTAGTTTTGGTTCAGCGTGTTTAGGACTTTTTACGGTTTAGGAATCGCAAGCAAAAGTATTTTGAACGAATGAAAATACACATATTTCAAGCATGCCGTGCAGGGATAGGTACGTAGAAAGATAGAGCTATAGAAAGAGATATCGATCTAGATATACATACAGGTATTGCGAGATAGATAGATGTAAAGCAGGGCAGGACCAAAGGCTCTAAATCATGGTCTGTCTTACACGGGTCATGTGACAACAGGGAACCTCTGAAAAAGGGAGTGTAGTTCAGGGAGTTGACGTTGCCTGTAAGCATAACGAAGCCTAAACCCTAAACCCTAAACCATCAGACTCACACAGCCCTACAAACCCCAAACCCCAAACCCCAAACCCCAAACCCCAAAACCCAAACCCCAAACCCCAAACCCCAAACCCTAAACACCAAACCGCAAACCCCAAACCCCAAACCCCAAACCCCAAACCCTAAACACCAAACCGCAAACCCCAAACCGCAAACCCCAAACCCCAAACCCCAAACCCCAAACCCCAAACCCCAAACCCTAAACCCTAAACCCTAAACCCTAAACCCTAAATGGCACCCTTTTCAGAGCCTTATCTGAAGCCCTGGTCAGGTGGCGCACCGGGAGTTCGAGCGAAGCTCTGCATGGCTCCACCAGCGATGCCAGGCCTTCCCTTGCGCTTTTTTTGGGTTTTGAGAAGGTCAGGAGCTCCGAACAGCGTAGGGGTTTAGGGTTTAGGGTTTAGGGTTTCGGGTTTAGGGTTTAGGGTTTAGGGTTTAGGGCTTAGGGTTTAGGGCTTAGGGTTTAGGGTGTGGGGTTCAGGGTTCAGGGTTCCGGGTTTAGGGTCTAGCAGCTTCGGGGAGCGCGGAGCGCCTACCCCTTTGTTCCTCAAAGTCCGAAAGGCTCTCACAGCACGTGGACCACGCAGGGTTTAGGGTTTAGGGTTTAGGGTTTAGGGTTTAGGGTTTAGGGTTTAGGGTTTAGGGTTTAGGGTTTAGGGTTTAGGGTTTAGGGTTTAGGGGCTCCTAAATCCCTCAAGGGAAAGCTCCGGTATCTGCCAAGGCTCTAAGGGTAGGTTTTCTAGGGGTTTACGAAAAGAAGGGACCCCGAAAATATAAGCCCCCACATAGGATCCCCTTAAAGAAAAGGATCCCAAGAAGGTACCCCCATTATCGTACACCCCCATATGGTCTCTGAATATAGCCCCCTCTAGAGGGCTCTGCAGCATGGGTCCTTTTGGGTTCATTCTTATACATTAATGCTTCCGTTCCACGCATTGCCTATGTTTCACGCATGCTTTTCCTTTCCATTCTCGTTTTTGTCCGCTCGATCACGAGCACCATTTGTGGATCTGCATGTTGGGCCAGTTGCATGGACATGAACACAGGTACAGGCACCACGGGAGGCACTTACAATTCTGCAGTTAAAGCAAATGCAAGTCCCTGATGTTCCATGCTTTAGTGGACCCGTGCCTCACATGCAGTCAACCTCCCCCCATGGTGGCAAGAGACCGTGCAGTGTACGTGGCACAATGGAAAACAGTGAGAAGGATGATGGCTCATTCAACGAAGCAGCTGCTGCTGATGGTTCCAACGATGGCTCGTGTGCTGGTTCCTTGGACGACGCAGATGAAGACTTCCGGAGAATGGAGGAGATGATGGTCGAGGTCCTTTGCGACATGAAGCCGCGCGCGCCAGACATTATCCGCGCCGTTCCTGCTGGAAGAGCTCTGAGGTGCTGTGGCCGCGCTTTCCGCAGAAAATCTCCGATGCTGTTCCGCGGAAGTTTTCCGACAGACAAGATACACGAGTTTTGGAGCCATTCCTGGCATGGCAACAGTCAGATCAAAGTAGTGACAGCGTTGTTCCTGAACAATGGAAAAATTGCACCACTGATTGCTACAGCGATCGCACTGATTGCCGTCATCCTGTACACAGCCGGTTTACTCCCTATGAGGTTCCATGGTGGTATTCCAACCTCAATACCAAAATATCCTCGGGCGTCGTATTGGGCCAAAGCCGTGGGCTTTGTGGTCTTTTGCATCTGCCTCCTGTGCTGGCAGCCCGCGAAATCGGTTTTCGTGGATGTTCTCTGCATCAACCAATATGACCCTAAACAAAAGTCATTAGCGCTGTTCAGTATGCCGGCCTTCCTCAAGGCCTCGGAATCTTTGCTTGTGCTGTGGGATCCAACTTATACCAGGCGCCTGTGGTGCTGCTTCGAAATTGCTGCTGCTGGGTTGCTGTTCAGGATCTTAGTTTACGTTCTTATAGTAGAGAACACAGCATGCTCAGTTATGTGGTTTCCTTCTTCTGGCTCGTAGTTTGATGTTCTGGACAGTCCCTTCGAGTCCGCCGAGGCATTCTTGCGAAGCCGCACGAGCAGGCAGACAGCACGCATAACAGTCAGGCCTACACTGCTTGGCCCTGTCTTCGTCTCACTGCCCATTGCTTTGTCTGTCGTCATACTGGGCTTCTGCATCTGCCTCAGGAAAGGTTTTCACTTACAGGAAATAAAGCCAACCATCCAGCAGGTTTTCAAAGTTTGAGATAAAGGACCCCCCCAAAAGGGGTCCTAGTTGGAAACTCTCAGACTCATGTGTTCCAGGTTTGGGCTTTGTCCCGGTCGAGACAATGGACAGTGGCAACCACGCAGTTGTTTGGCCGATGATGGCGGGGTTCGCATCTGTTGCTTTTTACTGGAGCGTGACCAAGTTGCGTGAGTTTTTCCGGAGTGTGGATTCGCTCCATCGTGAGTTGCAGCAGTTCCAATGCAATGACTGTTTGTGCCACTGCTGTGCAGTTGACCACAGGAAAGCAGATGGAAGGTGGATGGCATGTGACCGTCGAGTTTTATTGTCGTGCATAACTCTCTGGTTTGGCAGTGTGGAGAACTTTGACAGTATGGTGCGTTCCGAGGTGCTGGCCTGCCTGACCGAGCAACTTTCCTCGCAGGTTCTGACGTACAAACAGTTCCTTGTAATGGCGGTGCCCGTTATCATCACTTGGATACTGCCTCCAGTCGTCTGGAATGGGTATTCAACGCGCCGGAGGGGTACCAAGTGTGGGTGGAGGCTGAGATCCGAGCAGCTTCTAAAGAGCTGCTCCGAGGCGTTGGCTGGGCATTTGGGAGTTTGCCCATTATTTTCTTTGTGACCTCAAAACTCGCATGTTGGTTGCGGGGTCGAGCTGGCCAGCCATTCAGGCTGCGGAAAGATGTGCAGGGACATATTCATCAACTGCTCAATCCTTGCCAGCGTGATCACGCTCTTCGTGGCCATGCTGGTCTTGGAGTCGAGGATCTACAACCTTGGCGGTCCCTTCTTGGCTTTGTATGCAAAATTGTTCATTGTTGGGAGGGTGTAATCGCAACAGGAAGTGAAGGTTCGAGCCTAAACCCTAAGGCCTTCAGCACTGTCTTAAACCCGAAACGCTAAGCCCTAAACCCTAAACCCTAAACCATAAACCCTAAAACCTAAACCCTAAACCCTAAACCCTAAACCCTAAACCCTGAACCCCCTTATTGGGCCCATGAGCTGGACTCCCAAGGAAAGAACATCGATCTCATCGCGCTGGCCGTCTTCGACTTGATTCTCCTCCTTTGTGCCAGGCTGACCCGAAGCCCTGAACCCTAAACCCTAAACCCTAAAGCCTAAAGCCTAAACCCTAAACCCTAAACCCTAAACCCTAAACCCTAAACCCTAAACCCTAAACCCTCCTTTGCGCCAGGCTGCTGTTCACCTGCGTCCCTATCAGGATAAGCTTTCCAGCGGTCCAGACACTTTGCTGAACTCCGAGGTGTAGTAAGTAGGTTCACGGGTTAAGGCTGCGATTTTCAGAGTAGTTTAGGGTTTAGGGTTTAGGGTTCAGGGTTTAGGGTTTAGGGTGTAGGATCAACAATATTTGTTTCCTTGTGCAGAAGGACAACGCAGACATCCGGAACTGGCCACGTGAGCTCAGCTGCCAAATTCCAAACCCTAACCCTAAACCCTAAGCTGTTATGAGCCCTTGGCCATGAGGACCTCTTGTCGGGACGCATCCAGCTTGCCTGCTGCGGAGGCCTCTGAGACGTCATCCGGCCCCTGCGCAGTGAGCTCACAGCAGGGGCATGTCGAGATCAGCCTTTAATAACCGTGGGTTTTTTTGGACTTCCAATGTTTTCCCTATGGGGTTTGAGGGGATTCCATTTAGGACGTCGTTAATAACGGTAGGCCCTTGGGATGTTCAATGTATTTCCTACTGGGGTTTGAGAGTTTTAGGACTTTTCTCAGAAAGTTTTTACTGGCCATCCGAAATAAATGCAGTTGTTTCACAAAGCTGGGTTCTCCTGTAATCAGGATGAGTCATATCCCAGCAAATACATCTCGACCGCATCACAAGGACCTCCCCACCCTTTAACCAAAAGAATCTTCATCCCCCTAAACCCTTAGCCCTAAACCCAAAACCCAAAACCCAAACCCTAAACCCTAAACCCTAAACCCTAAACCCTTAACCCTTAACCCTAAAACCCTAAAACCCTAAACCCTAAGACCCTAAACAATGAAAGTCGGACATCTTCAGAGAACGGGCCCTCTCGAAGGTCCAGCCATTCCATGTGCCCCTCAGCGGTCGGAACCCTATATAAAGCTAAACCCTTAGGCACTCAAGGCTCAGCCTTGTGTCGGCATAGCAAGCTGTGCATGTGGACAGCTTTGTTTTTGGGCGTGGCCTTTTTCGAGCTGGTTCAGAGTCTAGGGGCGTTGCTCAATTTCAACTTCGACGCAAAGTGGGCTTGCTGCCAAATCCGTGTATGTGGGGTCCTTAAGGAAGGGGGTTCAAGGGGGCATGTAACCCAAGGTACCCTGATGCTCCCCACAACTCTCGAAGGCTGCCCCAAGGTTTTCTCAGGTTTTGTAGGTACCTACCCCCCCCCCCCCCCCAAACCCTAAACATGAAACCCTCCCTTGCTGACCGTAAAAGTTCAAGACCCCCCATGAACCCCCCTCCCCCACCAAAAAAAAAACCCTGTAATGAGTGTCTTGGGCTCATGCTGTTTCTCTAAGGGTCAGACAGGGGTCAGACCAAGACCACCCGGAAAAGGAGCAGCGTGCGGAAAGAGGTAGCGCAAGATACTCTACCCCAAGCCCTAAGCCAAAAGCCCAAAACCCTCAAAGCCCTAAACCCTAAACCCTCACAGCCCTACACCCTAAACCCTAAACCCCAAACCCCAAACTCCACAGCCTCCCTCCTTCTCGTCGCCACCAGGGAGCCTTAGAGCAGCACAGCCGACTCGGGGCTTTTGCCGACCAACTCTCTACCAGGCCCCCCCTTTGCGCCCCTATAGGGGCGGTGGTGTTCAAGGGTTTAAGGTCTAGGGTTCAGGGTTTAGGGTTTAGGGTTTAGGGGCCAGGGTTTAGGGTTTAGGAAGACTAGGGTTTAGGGTTTGGGGTTTAGGGTTTAAGGGCTAAAGCTTGGGATGTTCCCCCTTATACGAACAGTCCTTAATAGGGATTCTAGTACCCCCTATTAGATTAGCCTATTTAAGGACTGTTAATATAAGTCGGAACATCCCGAGCTAAAGCGTTTGACGGTTTGCGGGCTTCGGGTTTTGGGTCCGGTATATGCCTAAACCCTAAACCCTAAACCCTAAACCCTAAACCCTAAACCCTAAACCCTAAACCCTAAACCCTAAACCCTAAACCCTAAACCCTAAGCCCTAAGCCCTAAGCCCTAAGCCCTAAGCCCTAAGCCCTAAGCCCTAAGCCCTAAGCCCTAAGCCCTAAGCCCTAAGCCCTAGCCCTAAGCCCTAAGCCCTAAGCCCTAAGCCCTAAGCCCTAAGCCCTAAGCCCTAAGCCCTAAACCCTAAACCCTAAACCCTAAACCCTAAACCCTATACCCTAAACCCTAAACCCTAAACCCTAAACTCAGGGCGTTTGCCGGTCGGCCACGTGGCCGACCGCAGCGACCCCGACGGCCAAGCGGCTTCATAGGGCATTCGCACATACAATGCGCCTGCCACAGCAGCCTCTACTGTCTCATCAGAGTTTCAGCCGTGCCACCGGCATTGGGACACTCGTCAGTACTGACCTATAAATATAATACTATATTTATATGTAAACCCTAAAACCTCCTAACAACGACCAGTTGTAGGCACTGACGAGGGTTTAGGACGAGGATTTAGGGCCTAAATCCTCGTACGAGGGTTTAGGACGAGGATTTAGGGCCTAAATCCCCGTACGAGGGTTTAGCGACGAGGGTTGGGCCTAAATCCTCGTACGAGGGTTTAGCGACGAGGGTTTAGGGCCTAAATCCTCGTACGAGGCTTTAGGAGGAGGCTGGTAAAGCCTCCAGGTTTGACCCAAAAAGATTTTCGGATCTATGTGTTGTTATAGCACGAGGATGGTTTCCCCCCGGGCGTAAAACCCCAGCTTGTACCCAAAATGGTCCAAAAAAAGATCTGTGTGCGGATGTAGCAGGAGGATGGTTTTTCCATCGGGCCTCAAACCTCGAGCTTTGGCCCAAAGTGACCCAAAAAGATCCTCGGATGTTTGTGTTGATGTAGCAGGAGGATGGTTTTTCCCCAAGACATAAAACCTCGAGCTTTGGCACAAAATGAGATGCTCGCATCTGTGTGCTGCTTTCGCACGAGGATGGTTTCTACCCCGGGCCTAAATCCTCCAGCATTGACCAAAGAAAGAAAAAGGCTGCGGAAAAAAGAAAACAAGAGAGTTTCCTGAAAAAAGAGTTTAGGAAACTAAACCCTAGAAGGCGGAGCTGGCTAAGGGTGGGAGCCGCACTCTACGGCGCGGGGAGGGAAATAGAGGTGGCGCGGCCGATACAAGGCCCCATATTCGAAGCCTCTCGAGTGCGCTCCGAGGCCGACCCAACTCGCGTCGAACTTGTGTGCCCAAATGGCGAGTAACTCTTGTTATCTTTTTCGCAAGCCCTAAGCCCTAAGCCCTAAGCCCTAAGCCCTAAGCCCTAAGCCCTAAGCCCTAAGCCCTAAGCCCTAAGCCCTAAGCCCTAAACCCTAAACCCTAAACCCTAAACCCTAAACCCTAAACCCTAAACTCTTCTCTGCATCAGCAGCACTGGCCAGGTTGGAGATTCTACAATGCTCAGAGCCTCTGGCACAGGCACAGCCGTTCAGCCACGTCGTCCGGGCTGATCAACCCCTGAGCCCTAAGCCCTAAGCCCTAGGCCCTAAGCCCTAAGCCCTAAGCCCTAAGCCCTAAACCCTAAACCCTAAACCCTAAACCCTAAACCCTAAACCCTGAACCCTGAACCCTAAACCCTAAACCCTGAACCCTAAGCCCTAAACCCTAAACCCTAACCCTAAACCCTAAATTTAAGAGCCTCCGGCTCAAGCCGCCGACCCCGCCAGAGCATAGTTGAAAGGTCTAAACGGGCTCAAAGGATGCTTTCCTCATCGCATGGTTCGAAGAGTATCGCAGCCTGCTTGGCAGAATCCCAAAAGTTGTGAAACGCTCGCGCCTCTGTGAAACGTGGGGGGGGGGTAGGGGGTAGCACCAGGACCCAAACAGTTTAGGACTTGGGGCAATTTGTTGAACAAAGGCCAGACCCAGCACCCGTGTTTGGGTGGGGGGGGGTAGCAGGTGTGCTTTGATGCCTGATTGCGATCCTTGAAGTGCGGGGGGGGGGAAAGGGGGGGGCGGTAGGGGGGGTGGGGGGGGGAAGGGGCCAAAGGCAGGGGGGGGGGGTAGGGCGGCGGACCCTAAACCCGAGACCCTAGACCCTAGACCCTAAACCCTAAACCCTAAACCCGAAACCCGAAACTCTAAACCCTAAACCCTAAACCCTAAACCCCCTAAAGCGTCGCGTATGACTCTTTAGGGTGAAGGGCTTGCATGTAGGTTATAAGACGCCCAAATAGGGTAAGAGACCCTTATAACTCCAGTTGCCCTAATTACTTACGAGCCCAGTTGTAACTACCCATAAACCTCCAAGTAGGGAATTAGGTTTTTGGGATTTAGGGTTTAGGGTTTCGGGTATATTTGCTCAAATGAAAAGGGATTCTGAGAGGGTGGGGTGATACCAAACACATAGTGATGCAAAGGGGCCTTGCGAACAAACCCTACACCCTAAACCCAAACCCTAAACCCTAACCCCTAAGCCCCAAAATCCTGAAACCCTAAGCCCTAAACCCGGAACCGTCAACCCTAAACCCTAAACCCTAAACCTTAAACCTCGCCTTCGCCGCTCCAGAAGCTGGACTCTGGCGCGGACCTCTTGGCGGCGCCTGAGGAGTGGATGACGTAGAGCGTTTATGGTTTTAGGTCCAGGGTTCAGCGTTCAGGGTTTAGGGTTTAGGGTTTAGGGTTTAGGTTTAGGGACGACATAGGGCTCAAGCTTTTTATCGAGGACCGAGTGAACCCTTGAAGAGTTCGGGGTTCATCGACCACATGGGCATTCGAGTAGTTTATACAACATGGCTAGCGTTTGCATTGCCGTTACAGTTTGTGAGGGTATGTAGGCTTCCTGATGAAATATTGGTAAGTGTGCTAGTATGAGGAACCCTACTTCATGGCCCTTGGCCTTAAGAACCCCAATCCTACATCTTTTGTAGGTTATGCCTCTGAATGCGCAGATGACATACAAAAGGTGCTTAAGGGAAAGTCCTCAAGCCTGGACATCCCAAATCTTCGTTTTCAAGTGCCCCGCAGGAGCTGGATCAGCTGCTTGAGCGCCGCTCAGCAGCATGTCGCATGCATTCGCATGCCAAGGATTCCCCAAAATAGGAGTACCCCAAGATACCCCAAACGCTCGAAAGTCAGCCTACTTAACGGTATGAACCTCCAAAACCTAACCCTAAACCCAATCCCCCACCGCACGCCTATCCCCCCCCCCCCCCCCCCCCCCCCCCCCCCTAAACCCTAAACCCTAAACCCTAAACCCGAAACCCGAAACCCTAAACCTTCCCCTACCTCAGGACTGGAGAGCAGTGCGATGAGGTTGGAGTCGCGGTACGACTTCCTAGACACGGAGCGAGCCCTGTGCCCTGCCCACTCATGGTGGTCCAGGGTTTCGGCTTTGTGGCACCGCGGCCCCCCATGTGACAACATGTTGAAGGCCGCAAGGTCTTTAGATCAGCAGTGCTGTCCCTATAGTATGACATCCTTGCCCTACAAGCCCTAAACCGGAGATCACATGGGTTGTCCGAAAATAGGGGTACCCTTTTTATGCGGTATAAAAGGGGTACCCCTATTTCGGGAACACAAGGGATACCCCTATTTTGGAATCCCCTTAGGTAGTGCATGTCTCTAAATCAGACTGCCTGAGCCTTGAGCCCAGGGCAAGCCTCGCGCACCTTCGAAACCGGGCAGCTTGGAACCATCCCCTGCAGACCCGAAGCTCTTTATGCGCCCTAAATACGCCCTACAAGCCATTAGAAGGCCCCTAGAAACTCTAAACCCTAGACCCTTCAGTGCCCATGTGCTCCCTCGACCCTAAGCCCTACACCCTAAACCGTTTCAAGGCTCTTGTGGGTTTGTGGGGGTCACGGCTGCTTCACATGCTGTGCAGCTCGAAACATAAGTTAAGGGTTTAGGTCTGGAGGCTCACGGGTCTGATTTCGAATGCCCGTGGTGGGTAAGAATAGCAAGGACATGATAAAGTGTAAACAACCCTAAACCCTAAACCCTAAACCCTAAACCCTAAACCCTAAACCCTAAACCCTAAACCCTAAACCCTAAACCCTAAACCCTAAACCCTAAACCCTAAACCCTAAACCCTAAACCCTAAACCCGAAACCTATCTAAGGCACGGGGGGTTGAGGCTTGAAGGGCTTCGGAGCATGCTGCCCCAACGCCCCGGGTGAGGGCAAACTTTTGACGGTTTAGCGTATAGGGTTTAGGGTTTAGGGTTGGTTTAGGGTGTAGGGTGTAGGGTGTAGGGTTTAGGGTTTAGGGTTTAGGGTTTAGGGTTTAGGGTTTAGGGTTTAGGGTTTAGGGTTTGGGGTTTGAGGTTTGGGGTTTAGGGTTTAGGGTTTAGGGTTTAGGGTTTAGGGTTTAGGGTTTAGGGCATTCAGCCAAACACGTCGCGACTCAAAGCCTGTCAACCCTGAAATGCGTACTTGCGCAGGCTATAAAGCCAAGGTTGTTACAACCTAAACTGGGGTTTCCCAAATCGGGGTACCCCGAATGTCCTTGTTATAGCAAACCCCCAAAAGGGTACCCCGATTTTCGGAAACCCCTAAACCCTAAACCCTAAACCCTAAGCCCCAAGCCCTAAGCCCTAAACTCTGAACCCTAAACCCTAAACCCTAAAGCCTAAACCCTAAACCCTAAACGGTCTGGCTTCAGGTCTGCATCCTGTTGCGAAGCTCACTGCAACGGGCGCTGGAGGCTTCTCCCTTTTCTCGGATCTCGGGTCTTGGGGCCTTGGGGTTTTAGGGTTTAGGGTTTGGGGTTTAGGGTTTAGGACAAAAATCTCAGTTCACTTTGGTGCAGTTTGCTAGCTTTTCTTTTCAACAAGAAATCGAAACACACTTGCTTGTGCAGTTCACTACTAGCTTGGTCACATGCAGGTCCGATATCCAGCGAGCAGCATGAATTTGTTTGAGAAGTGTGAATTGACTTCTTCCTTGAGAACTGGGCCCAGCCCTCAGCCCTAAGCCCTAAGCCCTAAGCCCAAACCCTAAACCCTAAACCCTAAACTCTAAACCCTAAACCCTAAACCCTAAACTCTAAACCCTAAACCCTAAACCCTAAACCCTAAACCCTAAACCCTAAACCCTAAACCCTAAACCCTAAACCCTAAACCCTAAACCCCAAACCCCAAACCCTAGCCCTCTCCGATCCCCAGCCCCTCGCTCGTAGCCAGAAACCCTAAACCGCAAACTCTGTCGCATTCAGCTCATAGGATGCCCAACAGCACCCTTACCCCCTTCTTCGGGGGTTCTTATAAAAGCCCCTTTAAGCAAATAAAAGGGCCTTCTAAATCCCTTGAAGCAAAAAAAAGAATGGGCACCCTCTTTGACCCTAGGTTGCTGGACAACCTAGGCTTCAAAATCGAAAATCGAGAAGCCCCCGAGAAGCCGGAAGCCGGAGAAGTCCGATATGGGGGGTCGGAGGAATTACGAAGAGTATTCCCTTCTGGTCCCTAAATACTTATACTACAGTAACCCGCAAAACCCTCTTGCAGACCATTTTAAGCCCCTGCTTGCGGAAATCTTCAGAGCCCGGCTGAACGCTTTACAGGCCCCACTCGTCCCTTAAATTCTGAGCTTCAACCAGAAGGGCTTCGGGGTTTGTAGGTTTCTACTATTTGCTGAAGAGCCCCCCCTGAAAACACAGAGAATCATAATCCCTATCTTGCCCTTACGAGAAGAATGTGTTCTTGATCTGTTGGGCGGTTCTTAAGCAAATAGTAGGCTCGAGGTTCCTCCCCATTCATCAACTCGAAACGGAGGCAGCTGAGGGACAAGTGCAGGAGGTGCTCTTCGAGCTGCAGGACTGTATGGGTTTAGGGTTTAGGGTTTAGGGTTTAGGGTTTCGGGTTTAGGGTTTAGGGTTTAGGGTTTAGGGTTTAGGGTTTAGGGTTTCGGGCTTAGGGTTATGCTTGAAGGTTCATGAGTAGTTCTAAGTAGGTGTATGAGTACCGCAAATAAGGTTACGACCACTTAAAATACCTACAGTTCTCCCACTTCTAACCCCCAGTTCTAACTCATGAACCTGCAAGTTGGGTTTAGGGTTTAGGGTTCAGGGTTTAGGGTTTAGGGTTTAGGGTTTAGAGTTTAGGGTTTAGGGTCTAGGGTTTAGGGTTTAGGGTTTAGGGTTTAGGGTTTAGGGTTCTGAAAGTTGCGGAGCCTCGGAGCTTGAATGCCCTAAGCCGCTTAGGGTTTAGGGTTTAGGGTTTAGGGTTTAGGGTTTAGGGTTTAGGGTTTAGGGTTTAGGGTTTAGGGTTTAGGGTTTAGGGTTTAGGGTTAGGGTTTAGGGTTTTCGTGGAGGTTCATGGGTAGCTACAAGTGGAGTCATAAGTCGGATAGCTCTAGTCATAGGCGGTTATAGCCTCATTTACGGTACTTGTAGCCCTACGCGTTGAGCAACTTCCCATGAACCTTGAAGTTGGGTTTAGGGTTTAGGGGTTAGGGTTTAGGGTTGAGGGTTGAGGGTTGAGGGTTGAGGGTTGAGGGTTGAGGGTTGAGGGTTGAGGCTTTCGGGCTTTTCAGGAGCATGAGGCGACCTCCACGGTGGACACGCAGCACCCTGGCAATCGTCACAGTAGTAGTCTCAGCGTGTTTATCCGACAGCCCCTTCTTTATCCCTGTGTCAGTTTGAAGACCAAAGGCTTGTTGTTTGCAAAGAATGCTGTAATTAGGGTTTAGGGTTTAGGGGTGTAGGGTGTTAGTGGATGACTTGTAAGAGACATGAAACTCATGAAGCCGTCTCCCGAAACCCCACCTGCCTGCAACTGCAGGGGCCAACAGCAGCTTCAGTTGTCGGAACGCGGAGCCTTGTAAGAAAGCTCATGCGACGTCCATACAGGAATATGAACATCGACGATCATTCTTACATGCGTATCGCTGGCACACTAAGTAGCAGAAGCCGAACAATTTATTAATGCTAGATGTTAAGCAGGTGCTGTGCGATGACGAAGTTTTTCATCTTCGACGCAGAGGAAAACACAGTAGTTTGAGCTCGCAAATGTCTGGCACAAAAGCCTTAAACCATCAACCCGAGCGGCATTTTTTAAACGCAGTGCCCCAAACCATTCCGAAACCCAAAACCCTGAACCCTCAAGGGTTTTTTTCGCGATTTGCTCGCCCTGCCTCCATCAGAGGTGCGGAACAAGACCTGTAATAAGGAACGAGCCTGAGGAGCTGGGTATTTCGTTTGCTGTGTTTTGGGATGTTCCCCCTTATACTAACAGTCCTTAATAGGGATTATAATTGGGGGGTACTATAATCCCTACCAAGGACTGTTAGAAAAAGGGGGAACATCCCAAGCTGTGCTATTCCTACAAGACAACTTCGGATCTAAATTTGGAACGGACAATCCCAAACCCAGCAACCAAAGTTTACACAACTTTTGAGCTCCTAATGCCCCCAGGCCCCAAACGACACAAAGTAGGCCAGAGCCGGTGAAGATGGATACGTCTGCACGAGGCAGAACCAACTAGGGTTGACAAGACAACCTTACCTTGAGGGTGTGGCTGGTCGACCTTCTTTGGGTTGATCGACATCTGTCGGGGGGGGGGGGCTTCGGCGGGTCAGGCAGCCAAAGCCATGGTATACCGAACCTGCGCCACCCATATGGGCTTTCCGAAATTTGGGATAAAAAGGGGGTACCCCAAATAGAATAGAATCCCTTAACGGGACCCCCAAGAAGGGTACCTGTATGTTCGGAAGCGTATCATGTGTGTTGCTGTGTTGAATGTTAAAGCCTGGCACACATCACATCGTAGCCGTGACTTCGTGCAGATGCCGCATTCGCCATGTCTGGGGCCACCCAGGATTTTCTACACAAATTTTCACATGATTTCGCCGCGTCTTGGCAGCAATGTGGGGGCTTCACGAAATGTGGGTGTGGGGTTTAGGGTTTAGGGTTTAGGGTTTAGGGTTTAGGGTTTCAGGGTTCAGGGTTTAGGGTTTAGGGTTTAGGGTTTAGGGTTTAGGGTTTAGGGGGTCTATATTAGGGGTCCCCTATTTTCGTAAACCCCCATGTCAGGGACCTGCCGGTGATTCTGCTTAAAGGGGTTTAGTTTAGGGTTTGGGGTTTGGGGTTTAGGGTTTAGGGTTTAGGGTTTAGGCTTTAGGGTTTAGGGTTTAGGGTTTAGGGTCGCGACTTTTGCGCTTGTTCTCCATGCTGTCGGCATTGGAAACTGAATGTGGAATGCTGAAGTGGTGGCAGATCTCATTTACGGTGTGTGCATGCATGTATGCACGTATGCATACACGTCTTATCTAACTTTCATACATGTTGAATGCTTAGTCGGTAAAAACCCGAAGGGCCCTAAAACCCCAAACTCTAAACACTATATAAGTTAGTTTTGGGTTTCGCCTCCGAGTGAGGAGCTTCCGGCCAGCGCTGGCTGTATTGCTCCGACACTCCCGGGCGCAACCGCAGTACGCGCCTTTGCTGAGCACAACGGGTTTAGGGTTTAGGGTTTAGGGTTGAGGGCTTAGGGTTTAGGGTTAACGGAGCTGCGCTTATCATCTCAGGCCTCAACCCTTGACGACCTGGAGCGTTTCTTTGCCACTTTGCGGCTGCGCTTGGTGGCTGGCGCGGCGGCTGCGCACTGGACGTCGCTGCGGGACTGCTCTTGTCTGTGACGGAAGACCCTTGGGTTTAGGGTTCAGGGTTCAGGGTTTAGTGTTTAGGATTTAGGGTTTAGGGTACCTGAACTAGCGTTTCTGAGACCTGATATAAGCCTACAAGGGCCCGCAAGGGCTCAGCGGCTTCCACGTAGGGCATGCCTCGCAAAAATTGCGATGCCAACTCTTTGCCCTTTTTCAATCCGGTCCCCTCAATGGTGAAGGCTGCGGTATGGGTCAGCGTCCTGAGCTTCAGAGGCTTCCCACTCCTTGTGGTTTGGAGTGGGTTGGAGTTGGGTTTGGGGTTGAGAGCTAGGTTTCGTGTGGGTTTGTGGGCATCGCATCAGAGATACAAAATGGGATCATATATGGTCGAATCGACATTGTCAGAGGCCAAATTCCTTTGATGACTGATGACCCGCGACAGCCATGCTTGGGGCCCTCTCAATGTGACGGATTCGTAGTGGCCAGGAAACCGCAGCACGCACGCCAGGCTCCTTGCCTGCGCTGGCAAGGCCAGGATAGCGTTCGGGACTCTGGAGGGTCTATAGCTTCTTGGTCTCACAGCAAAATTTGAAGATTGAGAAGCGGATGTATGCTGGTGCCCAAACCCTGACCCTAAGCCTATAAACTCATGAAGCCCCGAAATCCCTCAACCCACGAGCCTGGCTTCGACAAACGGTTTCAAAGCATACTGCAGCATATATCTTGTCTTATTCCGGTTACACTTTCTATGACATTCTTGACATAATTGACGTCGGGCTATTCAAGACACCCTGACCGTTTGGGCTGCTGAGCGGTACCCTCTTCAAAGTCAATCCGTTCCGAAATCCGGCATTTTGTCAAGGATTTGTGGATAGTTTTTGTCAGAGATCCCACCGGTCCCATATCCCTAAACCTTGCACCCTGAAGTGGCAGACAACGCCCTGAATGCCTAAACCCTAGACCCTGCACCCTAAACCCTCAACCCTAGACCCTACACTACAACCCCTACAACCCGATACTTGGAGGTTCATGGTATTTAATAACCAATTTTTTCCTGTACTTTCGTTCCACTGATAAGCCCCTTAAGTGGCCTAGTATGGTTATACTTGGGTTATAAGTGCAACTACTACTTAGACTTGGTTAGTAAGTACCATGAACCTCCAATTAGGCCTTAGTGTTCCATGACTAATCGTATTCCCTTATGGCCCCTTCATAATTATGCTATAATAATCACCCCCCCCCCCCCAAAGCCTTATTCTAATTATTCAGGTCCCTATAGTAGCCCTAAACCCTAAACCCTAAACCCTAAACCTTGAACCCTGAACCCTGAACCCTAAACCCTGAACCCTATATTAGGCCACGGTGTCTGACTGCGCAGGCAGTCCATCGCCTACCTGATGGACACCACCTCGCGGGAGAAGCGCTGCTTTGAGGACGCCTGACGCGTGTAGGGTTTAGGGTTTAGGGTTTAGGGTGTAGGGTTAAGGGTTTAGGGTTTCGGGTTTAGGGTTGAGGGTTTAGAGTGGAGAGTGTTCACGTTTGTGAGATGGTAGTGGAATGTGGGGCACCTAACTCCACAATGCCATATGCAGGAAGGTTCAAGGCAGTGAAGATTCAAAGATCTTTTTTGTCGTGGTTCAGGGCTTGCCCCTCCTCCCCTCTCCCTCCCCTCTCCCTCCCCTCTCCCTCCCCTCTCCCTCCCCTCTCCCTCCCCTCTCCCTCCCCTCTCCCTCCCCTCTCCCTCCCCTCTCCCTCCCTCTCCCTCCCCCCTCTCCCTCCCCTCTCCCTCCCCTCTCCCTCCCCTGCCCTCCCCCCTCCCCTCCCCTCTTTGCCTTGACCTCCAAAAAGCATGCAGAGATGCACTGCGGCATAGCTTGGAAGGTTTACCGTAAGGGCGTCATGGTCGGGGTTCTGAGGCATCCTATGGTACGTTCACGACTTCGGGGTTTAGGGAGCCCGCGATTCGCACAGAGGCTGTTCTGGGCGCGCCCCCCGCAGCTTTTGGGACTGGAGGGGCGATTCTACGAGGTTTTCAGGTTTTGGGCTTGTAGGGTTTATAGGGTTGATGGTTTTGGGTGTAGGGTCTAGGGTTTAGGGTGTAGGTTTGGGGTAATACTCCTTATACTCGCCTTGGTGCTCCTAGAGCTTCCCGAAGCATGCTTAGAGCCTGCTGAGGCATTCTTTGCGCCACGCGGGACGCACGAGGCCGGGGCCACTCTTCTGGCATCCTTGATCAATAAAAACCCTAGAACCCTGAACCCTAAACCCTGAACCCTAAACCCTGAACCCTAAACCCGAAACCCAAAAGTCCTAAACCCTAAACCCTAAACCCTTAACCCTTAACCCTTCACCCTTAACCCTAAACCCGAAAAGAACTAAGACCTAAACCCTGAACCCAACCCAAGGTGGTCATGATTGTAACCACAAGGTGGTCATAATCATGGCCTCTATGAAACACGATTCATGTGTAGTTTTTTGGTGAGTGCAGAAAAGGGCTTAGGGCTTAGGGCTCAGGGCTTAGGGCTCAGGGCTTTCGGCTTAGGGCTTTCGGTTTAGGGCTTAGGGCTTAGGGTTTAGGGTCTAAGGAAATACATAAACCAGGAAGAATAAACAAGTAAGCGATATGTAGAGAGATCTTCGTACACTGAACTTATACAAATTAATAGAGTGCCCGTCTGGGGAATTTATATATATATATATATACATGTATGTATGTATGTATGTATGTATGTATGTATGTATGTATGTATGTATGTATGTATGTATGTATGTATGTACGTATGTATGTATGTATGTATGTATATATATATATATATATTTATATTTATATTTATGATATCACGCCACGCCTGTGGTAGCTCTGCCTTGAGCGCCAGGCTCTGGACGACATCTTGGCCCATCTCGGCCTGCTGTTTCAGGAGGTGCCCGGCAGACAGTGGCAAGAGGTGTCTAGGGTTTAGGGTTTAGGGTCTAGGGTTTGGGGTTCAGGGTTTAGGGTTTGGGGTTCAGGGTTTTGGGGTTTTTTGGTTGGTGTGCATGCCTTTGGTTGTCAGTATATGGGGCAGCCTCGAGGTCATACCCGGGGCTTGTCAACAGGTAAGACAGCAGCATGCACTGGTGCTCCGAATGTCCGTTATCCGAGGCGCCTCAGCTGCGAATTCCAGCCGGAATGCTCAACTGCGAATCCACGCGGAACCCAAGCCCTGCATATTCCAAGCTCACGAAGCAGACCCTGAACCAGAGCGGGTCCTTTCTCGCTGGGTTTGCGGTGGAGGCTGTTCAATTTCCCTAAAACCCGAAACCCTAAACCCCAACCCTAAACCCGAAACTCGAAGCCCCTCCCAGCTCTCACGGAGGGGGCCTGGAGGGTTGTGGGCTTCGGGTTGAGGACCTCAAGCCCCCTAAAACCTGAACCCTGAACCTTAAACCCTAAACCCTAAACCCACAAAGCCTCCACAAGCCCTCCACAAGCCCCCCACAAGCCCTCCACAAGCCCACCCACAAAGCCCGTAAAGACTTGCGACAAGGCCATGCAGCCTGCATGCGCTGCCGCAAGCTGGGCAGCTTGCCCGTTTTAGGGTTTAGGTTTCAGGGTTTTAGGGGGCGGTGTCAGGGTTCTCTGGACTCCTAGACCCTAGAAGCCCCAAAACCTTCCAGGAGGTTTCGGGTCTAGGGTTGAGGGTTTGGGGTTTACGGTTTAGGGTTTTTCGGTTTAGGGCTCAGGATTCAGGAATATAGCCTGCAATTCTTCAACCCAGAGTTCTGCAAGGTCGTCGGGGTGTGAAGCGGCATCTCAGAAGCGAACCCTAAACCCTAAACCCTAAACCCTAAACCCTAAACCCTAAACCCTAAACCCTAAACCCTAAACCCTAAACCCTAAACCCTAAACCCTTCAACACCAAAGGCCCGAAAGGTTCTCCAGAATCCCAGAGACCCCTGATGCCCTGAAGCCCTCAACCCTCAGTACCCTCAGTACCCTAAACTCTGACACCCTAAACCCTGAACCCTAAACCCTAAGCTCTAAACCCTAAACCCTAAACCCTAAACCCTAAACCCTAAACCCTAAACCCTAAACCCTAAACCCTAAACCCTAAACCCTAGACCCTCAACCCTCTAAACCCTAAGCCCTAAACCCTAAAGACCCTAAAGGCCCACCGCCCCAAAGACTCAACGCGAAGCCGGACTCAGGTTTGTGTTGCTAGGTAGGGCCCTGTTTCATTTTGATTTTTTTTGTACATAAATTTCTTTCCCTCAGTGAGTTTTAAGAGGTTTGCCTCTTCGAGATATTTTCAGAATTTTTTTGAAGGGCCATCCTGGTACACTTGGAGGTTCACGGGCAGAAATAGGTGGGGTCATAGGCAGGGTATCGATAGTTATGTCTGGCTATATCCTTACTCAGGGTACTTATAGCCCTACCTTTAATCCTAAGCCCTGAGCCCTGAGCCCTAAGCCCGAAGCCCTAAGCCCGAAGCCCTAAACCGTAAACCCTAAACCCTAAACCCTAAACCCGAAACCCAAGACCCTAAACCCTAAACCCTAAACCCCAAACCCCAAACCCTAAACCCTAAACCCTAAACACTACGTCTAGCCACCCATGAACCCGCAAGTAGGGTTGACGGAGCTGGAGGTGGACTTGGCAGCCAGCGCGGAGGTCGTGAAGGCCACCCTGGCGGCGCTTACGTTTTCTAAAGCCCTGCCCAGACCTTCCAAAACCCCTTACAGTAACTAAGGAATACACCCTACTTGTTACCAAGGATCAACCCTGAACCCTAAACCCTAAACCCTAATCCCTAAACCCTAGTCAAGGAGTTTTGGAAGATCCGGGTGCTTTAACCACACAAGGCTACCTGAAGGTTGTGTAGGTTTAGGGCCTTTTGTAGGGTTTCGGGTTAAGCGTTTAAGGGTTCAGGGTTTAGGGTTTCGGGTTTGGATGGTACTACTTGGATGTTCACGGCTAGTTCTAAGTAAGGTTTCAACGACCCCAAGATGAGTTGCCGCCCTCTACCCTGAGCCCATGACACCCCAAGCCCCAAGCCCCTGACCCCCTAAAGCGCTTGATGCCCTAAACCGTAAGACCTGGGCCCTGAAACCTAAACCCTAAACCCTAAGCCCGAAACCCTGCACCCTAAACCCTAAACCCGAAGCCCTACAGAGGCAAGGTTGTCTGCGCTGCTTGTGCAAGCCACCTGCACGTCTCAGAAGTTACTCCACCGGGCTTCTTTTTGAACCTCAGCCTCACACTCCCTGCAACAGGCAGCTGGTGGTTACTGGTAGCAGCATGGGTCTTACTTCCTCGAATACTGGAGGCTAGGTTGAGACGCCCACAACCCCAAATCCCCACAAGCCCCTGTACCCTAAACTCTAAACCCCAAACCCTAAACCCTAAACCCTAAACCCTAAACCCTAAACCCTAAACCCTAAACCCTAAACCCTAAACCCTACACCCTAAACCCTAAACCCTAAACCCTAAACCCTAAACCCTAAACCCTACACCCTAAACCCTAAACCCTAAACCCTAAACCCTAAACCCTAAACCCTAAACCCTAAACTCCCGAAGACTTCCTTGCAGAGGCTGAGCTTGCGGAGCAGCGGGAGGCCTTAGCGTGCCGCACGCCGGTACCAGAGCCGCAAGAGCAGGTTCGGGTTTAGGGTTTAGGGTTTAGGGTTTAGGGTTTAGGGTTTAGGGTTTAGGGTTTAGGGTTTAGGGTTTAGGGTTCAGGGTTTAGGGTTTAGGGTTTAGGGTTCAGGGTTCAGGGTTTCGGGTTTAGGGTTTCGGGCACCACAAGGACCCAGAGTAGGCCCTTATTCCCTTTTTGGGGGTTTAGGTTCCCTTAACCACCTGTAAACCAAGAAGGGCGGCGTAGGGCCAAGTGATTACGCAAGTTCAAATATATAGAACCCGACCCATATCTGCCGAGGCATCGCTCGCATGAGGGATGTTTGCCCAGGCTTGTATATGCTCACGGGCTTTGGTGGAAACCTGGAAACCTGCTTCGAAGCCTAAATAAAGCTAACATGCCACAGGCGCAGCCCTTCAAGCCGCCAAACCCCCTCCCCTCCCCGTCCCCAAAAAAGACCTGATGCATCCCGTAAGCCCATAGTCCACTCCAACTCAATGCTTGACAACCCCTGTAGCACTTACCACCCTACCCCCCCTCCAAAACAACGAGCAGCAGCCCCAAGAAACCTTCAATGATTCAATCAAGCCTCTGAAGCGATGACCAAAGCCTAAAGTCCTTGCAAGGTCTACGAAGAAAAGAAACCGAAGATACCCTCAGCGCTCAATTCTAGCTGAATACTTGAAGCCCTAAGCCACTTACCAACTCCTACATGAAGGTTCATGGCTACTTGTAAGTAGAATGCCCCAAAATGTTACGGACAAGATGCTACTAGCTACTACTGTCTCGGACAAGATAATTTACTGACTTGTTGGCGAGAGTTGTTGCTGGAATGGCTTTTGGGAAGAATGTCGGAGATGTACTTTTGGCAGCTTCAAGCCTTGCCAAGCTCTCCTCTTGCTCGGGTGTGGCCAAGCGCCAAAGAGCAGAAATGCCGCGTTTTTCAAGTTTCAAATTCGTTTCCGCAGTTTCAAATTAGTTTCAAAATCCAGTTGCAAAATCGCTGTTAAGGGGAAACTGTATTTTTCTACGCGCAATTCAAAAAAATGAAGGAATGTCAGAGGTTCCTGGTTTTCAAAAAGCGCGGACAGAAATTGCAGTTCCCCCTTAACAGCGATTTTGCAACTGGATTTTGAAACTAATTTGAAAGTGATTGGAAACTAATTTGAAACTGTGAAAACAATTTGAAACTTGAAAAACACCATATTCCGGACTTTCTGCCCCCATCCTGGCCCCTCACATACGGCCCTCAATTCACTTTGGTCAGCTGTGACTAGAGACCAGAGTTTCCGAAAACTTGCCAGTCTCCAGACTGTTGATGGACGAAATCCTGCATCACTTTTATTATGCAGGTCATCCCTTCCAAACCCTGAATATTAACATTGCCGTCCTTGCAATGCTTCGAAAGTGCCTGTGTGTGAATGACCGAAATCCTGCATCACCCGCGCGCGCGCGCGCGCGCACGCAACATTGAAATTCGAGGGGTGCGCGGAGCTCGACTACCAACCGTCGCACACGTGTAATGTAGGAGGTCATGCAAGATTTTGTCCATCCACAGTAGTATTCCCTTATGGCCCTATATATATATATATATATATTCATACTATATAGTAACACCCGAAAACCTTATTGAGACTTTTTACTACCATGTGCTTAAGAACCCCAAAAGAAATGACAACAGTTTCCTTATAAGGGTAATATAGGGAATTCTTCGTTTTGTTATCTTTTGGAGGGGAGGGGGGGACCAGAACGTAGCTCTCAAGTTAAAGTAAGTTCATTCTCCTCGAGACTTCCAGTCAGGCCCTACGCAACAGAGACGAAGCTCAGTCTCCAGAAGCCCTAAACCCTAAACCCTAAACCCTAAACCCTAAACCCTAAACCCTAAACCCTAAACCCTAAACCCTAAACCCTAAACCCTAAACCCTAAACCTTATTGCAGCCCCACATATTCCAGAGACGAGGTGCGCGCAGCCCTGGCCTCGCTCCTGGGCGCGTCGCGCCGGCGCCTCTTCGCCGAAGCGCGGCGGGTGCTGCCCCGCGGAGCGTTTAGGGCGCCTAAACCCTAAACCCTAAACCCTAAACCCTAAACCCTAAACCCTAAACCCTAAACCCTAAACTCTATGGTTTAGGGTTTTGGTTGTGTCGAGGTTTGCCATGGACTATTTTGTCTATGCTTTGCCCCTAAACCTACTCTACAGGAAACTTTCGAAGGCCTTTAGGTTTAGGGTTTAGGGTTTGGGGTTTGGGGTTTGGGGTTTAGGGTTTACGGTTCAGGGTTTAGGGTTTAGGCTTTAGGGTTTAGGGTCAAGTATCGACTACGTTGGTGGACCCTTGGGGTTCAGATACCAGGATTTGGGCGCAGACAGTGGTAGCTCACCCTGTATTTTCTTTGCAGCAGTCCGGTTTTCAGGAATGCAGGGCTTTGGGGGAGTATTGAGAGGGCGGGGGTGGCCCACTGATGTCTGCTTGGAAAAACTAATTGTGAGGATGTTTGCGGAAGTATACGCGGTACTCACCATACTCACGTAGGACGACAGTTCGGCCCAACACCCAAAGTCGTGAGTACACGAGACCGAAGAAATCCCTTCCCCACGCAGACTCCTGGCACATTAGGACTCCTCCTGCACAGAAATAGTTCCATAATCTTGCTCGGGTGGGTTAAAAACCCTAAACCCTAAACCCTAAACCCTAAACCCTAGACCCTAAACCCTGAACCCTGAACCCTGAACCCTGAACCCTGAACCCTGAACCCTAAACCGCAGCTAATATAAATGCACACGCCTTTGACTCCGCGACTCCGCGACTTGTTCACGTTTGTAGTTCTCCACTCCTGATTCGAAACCTTATTCACCCTAAGCCCCAAACCCTAAACCCTAAACCCCAAACCCTAAACCCCAAACCCTAAACCCTAAACCCTAAACCCCCGTGTATGCAAAGCCTGAAGGCCAAAAGTCCAGGACCATAGGCCACAAAGCTGGAAGGTTTCCGGTTTAGGGTTTAGGGGTTCCCTAAGAACACGCGCCCTTTGACCCAACTGTTTTTGTCTTCTCATTCGTTATAGTGTTGAGGGTTTAGGGTTTGGGGTTTTGGGTTTGGGGTTTGGGGTTTGTGGGTTGAGGGTTGAGGGTTGAGGGTTGAGGGTTGAGGCTTTAGGGGGGCTGGAGAGTTAAGGGTTCGGGGCGGAGGTCGTTGTCTAGGACCATTCCCCCTGTTTATTTTTGGGAGGGGGGGGTGTTTAGGTTTCCTGACACCCTAAGCCTAAACCCTAAACCCTTGGGGTTTAGGTTCCCTTGCAAGCCCCTTTCAACCAGGAAGGGCGCCCCTTTTAATCCTAGGTGACCCTACACCCTAAACCCTAAACTCTAAACCCTAAACCCTAAACCCTCAACCCCAAACCCTTCTAATCCCAGATGACTCTTGGGTCCAGTTGTTCTGAGGCTGTCAGCCGACCTGAGCGACGACCTCTCGGCCTCCTAGCTTTCCACACAGAAGCTTTCAGGGCTCGCTTGAGGGTTTAGGGTTTAGGGTCTAGGGTTTAGGGTCTAGGGTTTAGGGTCTAGGGTTTAGGGATTAGGGTTTAGGTTTAGGGTTTAGGGCGTGGGGCTTTGCCTTATAAGAGCCCGAAATCTACTGTTTTTGCAGGGTTCTGACTGTCCGCCCTTCCTATTTATTGCCAGCTGTCCCCCCCCCCCCCGCCCTCCCCGCCCCTCCCGCGACAAGGGAACGTGAAAGCCGTAAGCCTTGAATCCGATGGCCGCGCGACAGGGCGCGACGAGGGTTTGAAACAAGCTGCCGCGACGAAGGGTTTGTAGCAGGGGGTCGGGGGACCCCGCGACAAAGGCGGCTTCCGGCCACGGCCCTGTGGAAAATTCTTAGATCTTAAACAAGCTACTTAAGCAAGTAGGTTCCTGGTGTGGGGCCATCTTGGATTTTCGCTCGAAACCTCCAAAGCTGCCAGCCAGTGTCGACAAGAACGGCTCTCTAAGTTGGTTAGTTCGTTTTCAGAAAGCCCAATATTCTCTCCTTCATGTTGTGAACAGAGGCCTTAATTTGCACAGTTTTCCTTCTTTGTCAGGCTCGATAACTTGAGTCATGGACCCAGACTTTCGAGAAAGCTACTGCAATGTCGCTCCACGTACGGTTGAGATAGAGCGTTTGTGCGTTGCACTGGAGGGGCCCACCTGGCTCTAGCTTGGCGAAAGCCCGGAAGCTTCCACCCCCCTAAACCCTAAACCCCAAACCCTAAACCCCAAACCCGAAACCCCAAACCCTAAACCCCAAACCCTAAACCCCAAATCCTAAACCCCAATCCCTAAACCCTAAACCCTAGACCCATCTGAGGACCTGCAGTATCCAGGGGCCCTGTTTCAGGCAGGATGCCGGGAACTGGCGGTCACAATCCTCCCAGTCCTAGGGTCTTAGGGTTTAGGGTTTAGGGTTTAGGGGTTTAGGGTTTAGGGTTTAGTGTTTAGGGTATAGGGTTTAGGGTTTATATAGAACTCTACTATGTACAAGGTTAACTTTTTTTTGGCTAGGGACTTCAGCCCCTTAGCAGTTACCCTTCAAGGTGCCGAGGTCAGAACAGGAGTTGGCGTCCGGTCACGCAGCTTCCGGCGTTTGTTGCCTTAGTTAACTTAGTTACCTTAGTTTTCTTAGTTTCCTTAGTTCAGGGTATGTACCTCCCTTGGTAGCCCAGTGGTACCCTTTACCCTTGTTTTGGGTTCTGGCTTCCCTTGAAAAGTAACCAACCCCAAAAAGGGTGCCCTTATGATAATATGGTTACTGGGCTACTAAGCTACATATTGAGAGATGCGCTGCGGCTAAATGATCCTTGATCTAGCTCTCGGACCTTGCATGTTACCCGGGACCCGTGGGGTTCGATCTATATAAGTTTTCTTTGGTGCCGCAAAAAAGGTATGTCCAAACTTAGGGCCTTAGGGGCACCCCTCTCATACCCCAAGGTTCTATAATCTGTATTATAGGAACCATTTCGCCCCCCCCCCCCCCCCCCCCCCCCCACAAAAACCAAACAAACCAACAAAAACAAAAACACAGGAATAAGTAAATAAATAAACAGAATAGAAAACACATACATTTATCGAACCTATATAGAACCTAAATATTTGTATACCGTAGAGACGCAAACAAAACGCCCACGGGTTGGATCAACCCCCCACCGCAAAGTAATCTGGGTGCCGAATCTGGGCTCGCTGCCCCTAAAGCGTGAAGCCCTCGACCCTGCACCCTACAGAGCGCATGTGGCGCACCCAATGTAGGGGTCGGAATTATTGCTAATCGTAATTATTCCTTTATGGTCCCTTTGTAACTCTACTATAGTAACGCCCCAGAACCCTGTACAAGTGATCAAGGTTTTTGTAGTAGCCCTAAACCCTAAACCCTAAACCCTAAACCCTAAACCCTAAACCCTAAACCCTAAACCCTAAACCCTAAACCCTAAACCCTATAGTACGTTTGGACCTTTGTGGAAGGCGGCAGCATGGCAGCCAAAGTCTCTGTCACGTCCGCTCTCGCTGCTTGCGGCCTCCTACCAGGTCCTCGAGGCCTTAGGGTTTAGGGTTTAGGGTTTAGGGTTTAGGGTTTAGGGTTCATAATTGCCTGAAAGAGGGAGCCTTATAAAAGGGGTAATGTAGGGGCTAATTAGGTATATAAGTTTTTAACATCGTATATATGGGGTTTATATAGGGGAATATGATTCAGGGTCCCTTCTACAGGTCCCGCCTTGTGTCCCTTAACTACGATTTTGCCAGATTCATGGGAACTTTCCAGGGCGGGGAGCGAAAGGGCAGCAGGCAACTTGTTGAGAATTCGGTGCCAATCCGTTAACGGTGCCTTTTGGGGGGTAGAAGATACCAAGCTCCCTAAAAGCAAAAGCATCTTCCCAGCAAGCAGCTCATGCCAAGGGGACCTCCAGCGACTGAGGGATGCAGTCCTTACTTGGGATTATACTGGGGGGGTACTATAGTCCCATAAAAGGGCTGGATACTATCATCCCTCTTAAAGGGGCTGGGAGCTATAATCCCAATGAAGGACTGGGTATTACAATCCCTATTGAGGATTGGGCAAACGGCTGTTAGTAGAAGGGCGAACATCCCAAGGTTCGGGTTGAGGGCCGACTGCTAGAGCCTTGGAAACTACACGAACCTTGAAAGGATCCTTGCCGAACCCTACCCCCAAACCCTATAAAGACCCCAAAGACCCCAAAGACCCTAAAGACCCTAAAGACCCCAAAGACCCCAAAGACCCCAAAGACCCCAAAGACCCTAAAGACCCCAAAGACCCCAAAGACCCCAAAAACCCCAAAGACCCCAAAGACCCCAAAGACCCCAAAGACCCTAAAGACCCTAATGACCCTAATGACCCTAAAAACCTAAACCTCCCGCCTGGGGAGCAAAGGGTGGAGAAGCGAAGCTACCTCTTAGCCCTCCTCGAAATGCCAGAGGTTGCATGCGAGCCTTGTAGGGTTGAGGTGTTAGGGGTTTAGGGGTTAGGGGTTTAGGGGTTTAGGGTTTAGGGTTTAAGGTTTAGGGTTTAGGGTTGAGGGTTTAGGGTTTAGGGACTGCTGAGAAGGTCTCCGACTTTGAAGCTCTGCTGGACATCGTTGCGTCGAGCAGTCCCACTGCAGCAAGCAGAGGGCTTTGGGGCGGCAGATCTCGAGGATAAACCACCTTTCAAGGGACTCAAGGGAGGGACCCTTGTAAGGGACCTTTGGGGTTATTTAGGGGAATAGGATTAAGGGTCCCTTATGCTAGAAGTCCTTAATCGGGCTTATAGTCCACCTTTAATCTAAGGGTAGTTACATGGGCCCTCAATTTGTGTAGGGTATATAAGGGGTACCCTTTTCAGGGCCCATACTAAGGGACCATGTAGCTACCCTTAGGTTAAACTTACAGCCGCCCGTAAACCCTCTGCTAATCCGAAGCCCTTCCGCATCCTTACCGTGAATTTGGAAGTACACAGTTAAGGGGTGTCGGGCCATCTGGAGAATTCGGGGCAAAAGGAAACTGTTAGGGTTTAGGGTTTCTGATTTCCTCAACTCCCTGTGCTGCTTAGGGTGTAGGGTTTAACGTCGTGTTCCTTAATTTCTGGGTTCGCTTTTTGGAGGGTAGATAACCGTAAACCATAAACCCTAAAACCTAAACCCTAAACCCCGCACCCCAGACCCTCCCATACCCTGTCAAAGGAGAATATGAGGAAGGCTTTTACCATACCCCTAGGTTTCTTCTCAGGGTATGCTCAAAGGGGTACTTAGATTGTCAGGGGTTGGCCCGAAATAGTTGAACAACCGCCGTATGCAATCGGTTCCGACTTTGCGTTGCTTGGGTTTTGGGGGCACGTCCTAAACCGTAAACCCTAGACCCTAGACCCAAAAGCCTAAATCCTAAACCCTAAACCCGAAGCCCTAAACCCTCGACCCTGAACCCCATACCCTCAGCCCTAGACCCTAAACCCTAAACCCCAAACCCTGGACCCTAAACCCTAAACCCTAATCCCTAAACCCCGGCGCAGCACGGCGGGAGGCCCTGTTTGGTTGCGCCTCGGTGCGGAGAAGATCGACCAGAACGGCGACAACACAGCGTCTCCTGCCCTTCCACCCCCCCCAGAGCCCGAATGTAGGTTTCAGGGTGTAGCGTTTAGGGTTTAGGGTTTCGGGTTTAGGGTTTAGGGTTTAGGGTTCTGTTCTTTCATCCTCGGTTGGAGACTGGAGTTGCAAGATACGTACAAGTCATGTCGCTTGGAGCCGAAGCCTCATGTGCCTCCTACATGATGTTGCCGTTGATTTTGGGCCTCTGCTAGAGTTAAAGATGTGCCTGAACGCTAACCCTAAACCCTGAGCCCTAAGCCCTAAACCCTAAACCCTAAACCCTAAACCGCTGATTTCTCGTCATTCGACAGAGGCCTACATGTCTCCATGGCCGCTTCTTCCTCCTTCGGAACCTCCTGACGCTCCAGGTGCCTGTTCCAGGGTTTAGGGTTTGGGGTTTAGGGTTTAGGGTTTAGGGCACAAGCCCAGACAAGCGACGGACATGCTACTTTGTGTACCTGAAGGTTCATGGTACTTACTAACCCAAGTATGTGTTTAGAACCCAGTGATAACCATGTTGGGGCACTTGAGGTAAGTGGGTTATGAGTACAGTTATCATGAGGTTATAAGTACCATGACCCTCCAAGCAAGCTTTGCCTGGGGGGTTCCAGCTTGCAGAACCGCCGGCAGTCTCGCGATGGAATGAGAGAGCGATGCTGAGTTCTTAGTGTTACTTCAGGCGGCAATTCTCTCTCTCCCTCTCACAGACACACGCCCTCTGAAATTAGTTGGGGTTTTGCGCCGCCCTCACAAGTGGAGACTGGCATGTGACGGAGCCACTATCGCTTTTGAAGCACCTGGCAGCACACACCTTAAAGTCCCTGAACTTTCTAAAGCCCCAAACCTCCAAAAGCATCCTTGAACCCTACAACTTCAATCCCTTAAATCCTCAGCCGTGAAACCTTAAACCCGCAACTTCCTCACGGTTCCTCATCTTAAACCCTAAACCCTAAACCCTAAACGCGAAACCCTAAGCCCTAGACCCTAAACCCTAAACCCTAAACCCCTTTAGCAACGGGACCAGGAGCAGCTGGCGGCGTTTGAAGACGACTCTAGCGCGCTGGGAGTGAGCGAGGTGCTACGGCACAGGTTTTGGGTTGAGGGTGTGGGGTCTCCGTAAATGAGTAGCATATTGATTGTTGTTTATTGCGGTTATTGTTGAGTGCACACATATATGGTTGCTTCTTGCAACTGGGCGAGCGTATATGCATATATATATATATATATGTATACATGCATATATATATATATGTATGCATTTATGGGGTGTCCTTTTGTTGGGAATGCAAGCACTGAAAGCCCTGCTGCACATCAGTTGGGTCGTAAAGCCGCTACATAGCAACCCTGGAGCTCCTTTAGGTGTACGGTTTAGGGTTGAGGATTTAGGGCAAACAGTCTAGAGTTTAGACCCTAAACCCTAAACCCGAAACCCGAAACCCTAAACCCTAAACCCTAAACCCTAAACCCTGAACCCTAAACCCTAAACCCTAAACCTAAACCTAGGGGTTAGGGTTTAGGTACATGCACGGGCCCTTAGGGTTGTTGTGCTTAGGAACGGAATCACGGGTACTGGGCTCGGGGTTGATCTGGGCCTTCCCAGAGCGGACCCGACCCCCAAAAGAAGTTGAAGTCTAAACCCAAGAACCCTGAACTCTAGGGTTTAGGGTTTAGGGTTTCGGGTTTAGGTTTGACCCAAAGAGCCCTGAGCTCTAAACCCAAGAGCCCTGAACTCTAAACCACTGAGAAAGGAGGGGCTTGGCACGCTGACCCGGTAGCTTCGGGGTGTTTTGGGCCAAGAGCATGTTCGGCGTTTTGTTTTCAGACGGGGGAATGTAGGGTCGATGCTTGGCAGGCTGACCCCGCCTTGTGAATGTGGTCTTGACCAGAATTCAGCCTATACACCCTAAAACCCTAAAACCCTAAAACCCTAAAACCCTAAAACCCTAAAACCCTAAAACCCTAAAACCCTAAAACCCTAAAACCCTAAAACCCTAAAACCCTAAAACCCTAAAACCCTAAAACCCTAAAACCATAAAACCCTAAAACCCTAAAACCCTAAAACCCTAAAACCCTAAAACCCTAAAACCCTAAAACCCTAAAACCCTAAAACCCTAAAACCCTAAAACCCTAAAACCCTAAAACCCTAAAACCCTAAAACCCTAAACCCTAAATCCCAAACCCCAAGCCCAAACCCTAAACGCTAAACCCTGAACCCCAAACCACAAAACCCCAAACCCCAAACCCTAAATCCAAAACCCCGAGTTTCCGGTTTGTTTGCATGAGGCGTTGCGTCAGAGGGAGGACGAGTTCACGATGGCCCTGGAGAGGCTGGGCTTGGGGTTAGGCCCCATCCGTGAGGTGCGGCTCGGGCTTAGGGTTTAGGGTTTAGGGTTTAGGGTTTAGGGTTTAGGGTTTAGGGTTTAGGGTTTAGGGTTTAGGGTTTAGGGTTTAGGGTTTAGGGTTTAGGGTTTAGGGTTTAGGGTTTAGGGTTTAGGGGTTAGGGTTTGGGGTTAGGGTTAGGGTCGCAACGATGGAGACCCTAACTCCCATTCTCGAAACCTCTCCTGCGCCATCTCGTCTGCGCCCCCGACCCCCCCCCCCCCCCCCTCTTTGCCCCTTTTTTCCCCAGACCCTAAAACCCCTACAGACCCTAAACCCTAAAACCCTAAACCCTAAACCCTAAAACCCCAAACCCTAAACCCTGTTTTGGGCTCCCTCTTAGCACGGAAGGGTCCCCTAAACCCTAAACCCTAAACCCTAAACCCGAAACCCTATACCCTAAACCCTAAACCCTCTACCCTAAACCCTGTACCCTATACCCTATACCCTATACCCTAAACCCGAACCCCCCCCCGCTTTTCTGTCGGTGGCCAGGCTGGGCGCCTCGGATCTGCGCCTCGGCCGCGGCCGCCGTGGCGCTTCGCTGCGGAAGCACCTCGAGGAGGCTCTTAAGGGCTTAGGCTTTGGGTTTAGGGTTTAGGGCCTTGTCGGGACTGACTTAGAAGGTTCACGGGTAGTTAGACGTAGGGTTGAGGGTTGAGGTCTGAGGGTTGAGGGTTTAGGGTTTTGGTGATAAGTAGGTTGATATGCCCTAAATAAGGGTATCACCTGTAAAAGTCTAGTTCTCCGCTTAGAACCCCACTTCTGACGACCCATGAACCTCCAATTGGGGCGGGGGGGTGGTTGCAGGATACTTTGTTCCTGTTAGGGTGCCCCTCCCCCCGCCCCCCTCCTCCCCGATTTTGAGTAAATACTCACATGCATTGCTAAGAACGCCTTGAAGTTCAAGCGTGCTCTGGCTCACTATGCGTTTTACTTGGGATGTTCCGCCTTATACTTAACAGTCCTTAGAAGGGATTCTGGTCCTCCCTATTCTAACCGCTAACCCCAATTCAGGACTGTTCGTATAGGGGGAACGTCCTAACGTTTAACAAGCAAACCGCACTAGCACCTTTTGGGGGCCTGTGGCTTTGTCAGGCAGACTGTTCTTGGTTTTGCGCCTGTGGACTTACGGCTTACTGTAGGTCAAGACATGCCCTTATGCATCGTATGCGTGGATCTCTCTCTGGATCTATATCTATATCGATATCTATATCTATATCTATATCTATATCTATATCTATATCTATATCTATGTTTAGATATATCTATATCTATATCTAGATCTATATATATATATATATAAATACAAATATATATATATATGTACATGCACATGTGCAACTATTGAGAATACCCTGCTCCCACGCAAAGCTTGCGGATTGGGCTTGCTTGGCTTACTTTGAAGGTTCATGGGTAGTTACAAGTTCAAGTAGGGTTATAAGCGAACTAACTAAGGTTAGAACCAAGAACCAGTTGTAACTACACTTATCCCGCTTATCACCCCACTCATACTAGGACCCAGAGCACGCCCTTATTCCCCCATGTTTTGGGGGTTTTGGTTGGCTTATAAGCCCTTTTAAAACAAAAAGGGTACCCTTTCTACTCCAAGGGGTAACCCTAAACCCTATAGATCCTAAACCCTACACCCTACAAGAACCCCCAAGCCAGCGCTAGACATCTAAAAGAGGTCATTGGGGGTGTAAAAAAGCCCTACACCCCTAAACCCCTTATCCCTAAACCTTAAGCCCTAATCCCTTCTAGCCCCACTCGTAACTACCCATGAACCTCCGAGTAGATTTTGAGACGACACCCTAAACTCTGAACCCTAAACCCTAAACCCTAAACCCTAAACCCTAAACCCTAAACCCTAAACCCTAAACCCTAAACCCTAAACCCTAAACCTAAACCCTAAACCCTAAACCCTAAACCCTATACCGATGGGCTGCCCCTGGACCACTTCCCTCAACATCGCTAGGTCTCCTCCGAGCTGCTTACGGAGCGGCTGGGAGCGCAGCTTAGGGTTTAGGGTTTAGGGTTTTGGGTTTTAGGGTTTAGGGTTTAGGGTTTAGGGTATAGGGAAAAGGGAAAAGGGTTTAGGGTCTAGGGATCCCCGACGCAGATTGTTCCCGTTCGGAGGTTTTACTTGGGCTCGCCATCCCAGGATTCTCCGAGAAAGCCTCCTACCCTAAGCCCTAAGCCCTGAGCCCTGAGCCCTAAACCCTCCAGCCCTAAACCCTAAACCCTAAACCCTAAACCCTAAACCCTAAACCCTAAACCCTAAACCCTAAACCCTAAACCCTAAACCCTAAACCCTAAACCCTAAACCCTAAACCCTCCAGCCCCTGCCGTGATCTCAGGCTCACTGGACTCTGCGTGAGGGCACCCGAGGCGGCTTCGGGAGTTTTCCGAAAGCCTTGACTCTTATGACCTTAAGCCTGAGTTTAGGGTTTAGGGTGTAGGGTTTAGGGTCTAGAGTCTAGGGTCTAGGGTCTAGGGTCTCGGGTACGGTCTTGGGATATGGCCCGTAAATACAGCTAATCTCAGGTTTTCTCCCTGCAAAGGCCCCTATCGCAATCCAACGCTTTGTCCGCGGGCATGCCATGGATTTATTCTTGGCACGAGCATACACCTATAACAACTATCAATAGATTAGGGGGTCTTTTGCCTGTTCATGTATTCAATTCATTCGATCATTAGTTTGCTCAGTACATTCACTGGTTTTATAATACTGGAGTTATACTGACCTCACTGTTGTAAAGGGGTAAAAGGCCCTCATTATACATTCACCCCTATTGGGTTAAGAGGGTCATGTTTAGAATATCTTTCAGAGGCTTTTAAGGGCCATCCTAGTAAACCTTCATGACGCAACAAATAAAGCCCTAGAAACCCTAAACGCTCTCAACACACCTCGAACCCCAATGTGCTTGCTACCAAAGAGGCCGCGCGGTTGATACTCCGACGTTCGCCCGATCGGCATGGCAGGGTTTACAGGGTTTTTCAATGTCTGGGATGTTTGAGTGGACTCCGTTTAGGGTTGGCGTACTATGGCACCTAGCTGAATAGGTCGTTCGGTGCACGTCGGCGGAGGGTTTAGGGTTTAGGGTTTAGGGTTTAGGGTTTAGGATTTAGGGTTTAGGGTTTAGGGTTCAGGGTTTAGGGATGCCTACGGCCGCAAGTATTGGCACAAGACTCCAATCGCGCACATCCTCCTCCCCTTTCGAAATCATGTCGAATGCCTCGGTCGTTCGACTTCTGGCGGCGCTGCTGGCGACCGTGCCTGGACTTAATGAAAAGGGTTTGAGGCTTAGGGTTTAGGGTTTAGGGTTTAGGGTTTAGGGTATAGGGATTCTAATGATGCCACGTGCGCACGTAGTTCACCATTCCGTTGCACAAATCCCTCTGAGAGCATCGACCATTTGAGGTCCGCTTGCAGCCCAATCAGGCACTCCTATAGAAGCTTCAGGGTCTAGGGTTTAGGGTTTAGGGTTTCGGGTTTCGGGTTTAGGGTTGAGGGTTTGGTTCAGGGTTTGGGGTTTGGGGTTTGGGGTTTAGGGTTTAGGGGGACGAAGGGAGTTCAGAATGAATGGTGCGGGCACAATGACACGGTACACGGTGTCTTCAACTCGGTGCAAGTGAGTTGGAGAACCCTGGTGCCCAGGTAATCCGGACCGCTTCAAGCACGTCTTTGTTGCAGCCACTCTCCACCGAACGCCCGATCCTCTTCACAAGCAAGGTCTACAGGGTGTCATGTAGAAGGCTAATTTCTTGGTAGAGTGAGTAGGTAACCTTTAACTTGATTTTGGGCCTTATTATCTCTATACAATCCACAGGTTAACCTTTAGCTCCCCCTAGGATACTGGACAACTAAGGAGTTAAAGAAAGCACAGGAAATGTCGGTGACCTTGACAATGAACACCCTCTGCTGATTGCAAAGGCCCTTACAGGTACCCGGTTTAGGGTTCAAGGCTTAGGGTTTAGGGTTTGGGGTTTGGGGTTTAGGGTTTAGGGTTTAGGGTTTGGGGTTTGGGGTTTAGGGTTTAGGGTTTAGGGTTGAGGGTTTACTGTCCACCTAAAAAATGAGCCGGCTGCCTCTGGTTCCTTTCTTGTTCTGACAACGAATTGACCCCTAGGGCCCCAAATCCCTAAACCCCCTGCTCAATCGTCTGTGCCGGTGGGCGCCTCCTGAAACAGTTTAGGGTTTAGGGTTTAGGGTTTAGGGTCTAGGGTTTAGGGTTTAGTGATTCCGCTGACCTCTACTGAGCTTCGGGCGCAAGCTGAAAGCACCAGGAACGTCACCACTTTCCCTGCTGCCCCAGTGCAGCATCACTTGCCACCGCACCTCGGCAGCCACTCCTAAACCTAGGGTTTAGGGTTTAGGGTTTAGGGTTTAGGGTTTAGGGTTTAGGGTTTAGGGTTTAGGGTTTAGGGTTTAGGACTAGTGTTTAAGGTTTAGGGTTTAAGCCCTAAACCCTAAGGCCCAGGAGCGTGACCTTAACCCACTCGCCATCAGTCCCCAACACCCCCCAGACCCCGGGTCAGTAAAGTCGAATCCGCAGTTCTTCCCACCGACTGCTGGCTAGTAGGGCATGGGGGAATAAGGTACCATATGTAATCGGGTATATAGGGGATGTATGGCACCTTCCAGGGTTTAGGGTTTAGGGCTTAAGGTTTAGGGTGCAGGAATTCGAGCCCGCAGTTCTTCCAGAGAGCAGAGCCTCTATTGTGGTCCTTTTTGGATCCCTGTCATTATGCGGCACCTAATATACCCTAAACCCTAAACCCTAAACCCTGAACCCTAAACCCTAAACCCTGAACCCTAAACCCTAAACCCTAAACCCTAAACCAAAAGGGAACATACTTTTGACAACCACCCATGTGGCACCTTCCGGAAAGCTGAGCCTCTGACGCGCAAAGGTTTGGCACCGATGTGACTGGCCCCAAGGCGACCAACAAGTTCTGGGCCAACTGGGTGGTGGAGCCTTCTCCTGCTTTATCCTCCCAATGTCCTCAGGGTTTAGGGTTTAGGGTTTGGGGTTTAGGGTTTGGGGTTTAGGGTTTGGGGTTTAGGGTTTGGGGTTTAGGGTTTAGGGCTTCTCCATCGCGCATGTCGCCAAACCGAGCATGTCCACGAGTTCAGCAGCTTGCTCGGTGCGAAGTTACACGTAGAGTCCTTCTGCTAGACTGCCTCGAATCCTGGGAGTAAAAGCCTGGCAAGCCCATGAACACTGGCCAGCGCCCACATGGTAGTATAGGGGCGTTAGAGTTAGAATAGGGTTTTGGGGGGTTATTTACAGTATGGAATACTATGACTAGTTGTACCGACCCCCAAGTTCGTTGTTCAACATGCCTGTCCCCAAAGTAGCTACAAGGTAGGTTTCCTTTTTCAAAAGGGTTGCCTATTCTCCAAATCATCCATCCTTACTTTCAATCAAACCCACGTGTTCTGCGGTATACGCGTGCATTGCATGTACTACAAGCTTGCTTCTGAGTGTTACGGCTGCTGAGCCTTAGCCGTAGCCTGAGCCTCCATGTGTTCACGCAAATAGAGATTAGTACAAGTCTTGTAGGCAGCATTTTGATAACTCTAAACCCGAAACCCGAGACCCTAAACCCTAAACCCTGCACCTTTAAGAAATTTTACACGGAATAGTGTTGTGGCTGAGAAAGACCTTGCATCCCCCTCGGCACCCCGCCAACCCCATGGACCCTAAACCCTAAACCCTAAACCCCAAACCCCAAACCCTAAACCCTAAACCCTAAACCCTAAACCTTAAACCCTAAACCCTAAACCCCCGTGGTGAGGAAGAAGGCCGCGGCTTGGCCATCCACCCCATGCCCTACGTCTTGCAGTTTGCATCGCAGCCTGGAGAGGCCCCGGTAGTCGTACAGACTTCGAGGGTTTAGGGTTTAGGGTTTAGGGTTTAGGGTTTCGGGTTTAGGGTTTAGGGTTTAGGGGTTAGTCAGGGTTGCTTTCGGCAGTCCGGCTTGAACGGGTTCAGCATTCAACTCCCTGGGCTGCTTAACCCTGAACCCCTTGAATGGCTCATGAGCCCCCTAAACCTTACCCAAAGAACATAATACCCTAAACCCTAAACCCTAAACCCTAAACCCTAAACCCTAAACCCTAAACCCTAAACCCTAAACCCTAAACCCTAAACCCTAAACCCTAAACCCAAACTCAAAGCAAGTCAGCGCAAGGCACCCAACCTCAAGGTCTCCCGCAGCCTGGTCTCGGCTGGGTGGATGGGGGTTCGCCTTTGTAGTTTCGTTAGGGATTCGGGTTTAGGGTTTAGGGTTTAGGGTCTAGGGTCTAGGGTTTAGGGTTTAAGGTTTAGGGCCTGAGGGCTTAGGGTTTAGGATTTAGGATTTAGGGTTTAGGGTTTAGGGTAGAGGGCTTAGGGCCTGAGGGTTTAGGGTTGAGGGCCTAGGTTTCCGTTTTTATGAACTTATGTGTTCCATGTTGGGTTTAGGGCTTCGGGTTCACGGTTTAGGGTCTAGGGCTTAGGGAAGACCAAGGTATTGAAGATGTTTAGGGTTTAGGGTTTAGGGTTTGTTTTTTTAAAGGTTCGAAAAGAGGGGATCTTTCGGCGAAGTGGAGGCGAGGCTGAGGATGCGGCCGTGTGCATATCAGGGGCTGACCGATGCTGAGAAGTGTAAGAGCTCTTTAACTTACTTGAAGGTTTTAGGGTTTAGGGTTTAGGGTTTAGGGTTTAGGGTTCAGGGTTTAGGGTTTAGGGTTTAGGGAGGCGATATAGTGCGGGATGCCCTACATTCTTGAACCCTAAACTCTCAACCCTAAACCCTAAGCAGAACCCAGGAGCAGTCTATATTGGAACGAAGCGCTTCACTTCCTAAGGCAGCCAGACGCCTCACGTCACCTACGGCGACTCTGATTCCAATGGCCGCGACAAGATTCGTCGCTGGGCGTTGTGCAGCTGTACTTTAGGGGTTTAGGGGTTAAGGGTTTAGGGTTTAGGGTTTAGGGACAGGCTCCGTTTCGTACTTAAGGCTTCAGGTTCGTGTAGGGGGAATTCTATCTTTTTGGCCTTGTCGCATCATGATCCTGCGTCCTGCTTCCCAACACCTTGAAGTCATAGAGTTTAAACCCTGAACCCTAAACCCTGAACCCTGAACCCTGAACCCTGAACCCTAAACCCTAAACCCTAAACCCCTAAACCCTAAACCCCTGTTTGCGGCATGAGTCGACCATAAGCCGAGGGTACTACTTCTCACCGGTGATCAACGAGTTTGGCCTTGGTGCGGCAGAGCCCGCCGGTCAGGAGGGCCACGTCGTGGTGAAAGAGGCGCGGTTCCCTAGACCCTTGACCCTTGACCCTAGACCCTAGACCCTAGACCCTAGACCCTAGACCCTAGACCCTAGACCCTAGACCCTAGACCCTAAACCCTAAACCCCAAACCCTAAACCCTAAACCCTAAACCCTAAACCCCAAACCCCAAACCCTAAACCCTAAACCCTGAACGCCGACACCTACCAGGGCCTCTTTGGCATCCACGTGGAGCTGCGCGGCCCTTCAGGCACGGCTCGGAAGATGACCTTTCCCATCTACAGTGGAATGGCCTACGTGCCCCGTGTCTGTCACCTTGTTGTAGGAAGTTGGCTCCAGGCTCAGGCTCAGGTAGGGTTTAGGGTTTAGGGTTTAGGGTTTAGGGTTTAGGGTTTAGGGTTTAGGGTTTAGGGTTTAGGGTTTAGGGTTTAGGGTTTAGGGTTTAGGGTTTAGGGTTTAGGGTTTAGGGTTAGGGTTTAGGGTTTAGGGTTTAGGGTTTAGGGTTTAGGGTTTAGGGTTTAGGGTTTAGGGTTTAGGGTTTAGGGTTTAGGGTTTAGGGTTTAGGGTTGAGGGGCTAGAGCCGAGTGCAGGCTGCGGTCGGGAGGTCGCAGTGAGCCTTCCGATAGGTCTTGGCAATGATGCTGTATGCTGCAACGGTTTGGGGTTTAGGGTTTAGGGTTTAGGGTTTAGGGTTTAGGGTTTAGGGTTTAGGGTTTAGGGTTTAGGGTTTACTTCTTCCCCCTGGTTCTTCGTAGGGAATGGGGGAATTAGGTGCCCTGCCTACTCCGTTAAAGGGAACGGTATACCTCACTCCGTGACGACCTACGAGGAACCAGCTTAAAGTCTTCTCTGTCTCCACTGTCGTCCCAGTCGATTGTTTCGTCTGGCTCAAGATGTGGGGTTTTCTAAGGGTCCATGTACGGTTTAGGGTTTAGGGTTAGGGTTTAGGGCTTAGGGTTTAGGGGTTAGGGTTTAGGGTCCACCCCAAGCCAACGCAACTACCCTGGAGCTCCAGACCCGAAAGTCCTGCAGGTCCTGAACCCCAAGCCCTTCGGCCAAAGCTCCCTCAACCTGCAACCCAGAAGTTTTCTTCTCTGGGGTCTTACGATGGTTTTGGGGTTTATAGTTGTCGGGTTTTGGGGCATTCTGAGGGTAGAGGCATGGGCCCTTCATATGGTCCGGAACTTCCTTTAAAGGGTTCTGATGTATGGGACATTGATTTGTACAGGGTACATAAGGGGTACCCTTCTAATCTAAGGGCCATACTGGGGACCATGTTAAGTACCCTTGCAGGGTTTAGGGTTAGGGTTTAGGGTTTAGGGTTTAGGGTTTCGGGTTTAGGGTTCAGGGTTCAGGGCTAGGGTTTAGGGTTTAGGGTTTAGGGTTTAGGGTTTCGGGTTTAGGGTTTAGGGTCTAGGGTTTAGGGTTTAGGGGTTTAGGGTTTAGGGTTTAGGGTTTAGGGTTGAGGTCCGCGCACTACGAGGGAGGCTTCACGCCCAAGATCACCTCAGAGAGGGCCTTGCTCGGCGTGGACCCGATCCAGGAAGTGCAGTCGTTTTTGGGGGGCCTAGCTCGGTTTAGGGTTTAGGGTTTAGGGTTTAGGGTTTAGGCTTTAGGGTTTAGGGTTTAAGGTTTAGGGTTTAGGGTCTAAGGTTTTGGGAGAATTTGGTATTTGCCCTTATTGGGTTAAAGAGGATCATGTTCCGGAAGAGCTCATGGAGGTTCACCTTATTCTCCCTAAGCCCTAAACCGGTAGACCCGAAGCCCTAAACCCTAAACCCTAAACCCTAAACCCATTATACTTCTAACAAACTCCGGGAAGAGAGGACGGCGTGTGGCGGCTGACGAACAATGGTGGCCGCGAGTTGCCTTGCAGATATACCCCCTAGACTCGAAAGCTCGAAGCCGTGTGCAATCATTTTTCAACATAGCTGTTCAGGAAGTGACAGTGGGAACCCTAAACCCTCAACCCTAAACCCTGAACCCTGAACCCTAAACCTTAAAACCCTAAACCCTAGACCCTAAATCCTGAACCCTGGGGGGTGTTGGTACTCCCTGTGACCTCTCAAGGAGCAGCCCTACCGCTTGAGTCTCCCAGGTTCCGTCTTTATGCGATCCTGGCATCCGGTGAGTTCGCGGACGGCACCTACCAGTTCGACAGCCTCCTGGTCCCAATCACAGCCTCCACCAACCCCCGCACCCGCCCACACCTCCTTTCCCCCCCTCCAAAAAAGAAGAAGAAGCAACAAAAAACAGACAACAGACAAGACAGCTCATTGAGCCCTAACCCTAAACCCTAAACCCTAAACCCTACACCCTAAACCCTAAACCCTAAACCCTAAACCCTAAACCCTAAACCCTAAACCCTAAACCCTAAACCCTAAACCCTAAACCCTAAACCCTAAACCCTAAACCCCGGATGCTGCTGAAAAGGCCAGGGCCTGATGAACAAGCCTTTTGAGGGATGGCTGCGTCTCGCGGAGGTTCAGGCCGGGGTCCCCATGTCCGCAGACAGGGTGGTGCCCGTTTTTCGGGGGGGGGTTCAGGTTCAGGGTTCAGGGTTTAGGGTTTAGGGTTTAGGGTTTAGGGTTCAGGGTTCAGGGTTTAGGGCTTAGGGTTTAATTAGGGTTTAGGCTTAGGGTATACGGTTTAGTGTTGGAAATAAGTCTTAGATAAGGGTGCCTACTCAATTGAGTTGGTTGCAATGATAAGGGAACAAGAGGCGATAGAGGTTACTGTAGATTGTCAAATGTTTCTGGAAACAGTTGAGATTGGGGAGTGTCCATGCGCAAATCGGTTTCATTAGGGCTAGCCCGAATGCCCTACACGAGCTCCAACGCTGGACACGACTTGACCTGCGCGCCTCCACCAAAGAACACTTGGGGGTTTCCGAAATTCGGGGTACCTTATTGGGTCCTTATCAGACCTGGTTTAGGGTTTAGGGTGTAGGGTTTAAAGTTTAGACGGGGATCCCAGAACTTAAGCAGCACCCGAAGCCCCCAAGTAGGAAGCCAATGGCCTGCCAGTATCTAAGGGTAGTTTCATGGGACCTTAATGTGGTCCCTTACCTCCTTTAAAAGTGTTCGGATGTCTGGGCCCCTTGGTTTGTTTAGGGCTTACAAGGGGTATAAGGGGTACCCTTTTTGGGTCCATACTAAGGGACCATGAAACTACCCTAAGACAGTAGGATGACTACATAGGGTTTAGGGTTTAGGGTTTAGGGGAGTAGCCCAAACTGCGCGTGCAACACCTCCCCAGACCCGCGTGCGTCAGGCGGCCAGCGACGTCGATGTCCTTGACCAGCATGCCGGAGCCTGCCCAATGCGAGGGTTTAGGGTTTAGGGTTTAGGGTTTAGGGTTTAGGGTTTAGGGTTTAGGGTTTAGGGTTTAGGGTTTAGGGTTTAGGGTGTAGAAAGTCGATTCCCTAGTTTCTTGAACCCCTTGGGCACTTTCAGTGCGTCTTAAGAGTTTAGGGTTAGAGTTTAGGGCAACGTACTCTATTGTAGGTTGTGACCCATAAAGCCCTTACATGGCGCAGGGCTGAGGGTGGTTTCGGGTTCGGGGCTTACGGAGTCTAAAGCCCCCTTTGCTGTTCCTAGGCGGCCTACAAGAAAAGCAGGCTTTGTGTTCTTCAGGCAGATAAGTGAGACAATCCCGAAGGGTTTAGGATTTAGGGTTTAGGGTTCAGGGCAAAAACTGGGGACTGTGCCTTCCCAACGCACCGGAAGAGAACAGCAAGTGGCAACGATGCTGCTGTATGTTCTTGACGTCGGAATGGTCCGCATCTTAGACCGCCTCATCCATATGATGTGTTTTCTGACTGCAGAAATGTATCACCTGAACAAGAGAACTATAGGTTTTTGTATTCAAGTTACATTGGGGTCCACTGGACAAATTACCGAAGGAGCCATTCTGACTGACTGGGACATGGACGTGGAGCTGGGCAGCTTGAGGCGCGAAAGCCCTAAACCCTAAACCCTAAACCCTAAACCCTAAACCCTAAACCCTAAACCCTAAACCCTAAACCCTAAACCCTAAACCCTAAACCCTAAACCCTAAACCCTAAACCCGAAAAAGCCCTAAACCCTAAACCCTAAACCCGAAAAAGCCCTAAACCCTAAACCCTAAACCCTAAACCCTAAACCCTAAACCCTAAACCCTAAACCCTAAACCCTAAACCCTGAAAAGCCCTAGACCCTCAACACAGGTACCAGTTCTCGAAGAGCGGGCGTCAAGACATTTCGCTCCTGCACTTCGGCCCCCCAGCGTGCAGGGCATGGGAATCCAAGGGGTTTAGGGTTTAGGGTTTAGGGTTTAGGGTTTAGGGTTTAGGGGTTGGGACCCTGGGCCCTTAGTCTGGTCCCTTACCCCTGTTTTAACGGGTTTTAAGGGATCCGAAGTACGGGCCCTCATTATGTTTAGTGCATATCAGGGTTATCCCAAAGGATCCATGTACCTATATAGTATATACTTGGGCCTTAATGGGGTTCCTATATAGTAGCTTTAGGGCCCAAGTATACTCTATATAAGTACATGGATCCTTAGGGTATATAACAGGGGCCCACCCTTCCCAGCCTAAACAGACATGCGCTGTGTTCGGGGCTCAGGCTATGCCCATCACGAGAGCATGCTCACCGGGGCTTCGCACCAGGTGGCTGCAGGGTTTCGTGGGCGGCTGGGGGGGGGGGGGCCTGCACTGTTGGGCGTGGGATGACTGAAAGAAGTGGGCGAAGCGCATAAGCCCTCAACCCTAACACCTAAACCGACCGTAAACCCTAAACCCTAAACCCTAAACCCTCGGCCCTGAACCCTAACCCCTAACCCCTAAACCCCAAACCCAAGTCACCCAAGCAACCCAAAGCTCGATTCCCGAAAATACATGCATTGAGTGGAGTTAGTATCGACTATCCTTTTTTGGATACTGGAAGCGAAAACAAGCATGCTGCATACTACATACTGGATGCTAGATATCAGATACGGTGTAACATGTATTGCAGCTATGTACAACGTACAGCTATGTACCTTGTGCTGTGTATGTACCTTGTGCTGTGTATTCTGTACTGCATGCTAGATCACATAAAACTATATACAGTTTATTGCAAACTCCATAATGTAGACTACGTGCTACATACTATTGCAGAGCCTATCATCGAGGGCCCTTGTTCCCTACCTCGGTGTGGGGCTGTTAGATTTTAAAACTTGAACTCCTCTCATCGCCCGGCCCATCACCCATATCCCACTTCAGAGTATCCCCACAGTGTCTCTGGAGTGCCCAACCCCTGGGTTTAGGGTTTAGGGTTCAGGGTTTAGGGTTTAGGGTTTAGGGTTCAGGGTTCAGGGTTCAGGGTTCAGGGTTTAGGGTTTAGGGTTTAGGGTTTAGGGTCCCTGGAGTGCCCGACTCTAGGGGGTCCCTGGAGTGCCCAACCCCAAACAATTCCAAGTCCGTAGGGTGGGGATGTTCGAAGTAAAGCCAGGTTCCCTTACAAGCCGCTTTGAACCAAAAAAAGGGCACCCATCTTACTACTTGGTTACTCTTGGGCCACCGTAAACCCTAAATTATCCCTAAACCCTAAACCCTAAACTCTAAACTCTAAACCCTAAACCCTAAACCCCGAACGCAGCTCGAAACAACAAAACACCTGGCAGATCTCCGCGCTGACGCCTATGCGGCCACCAACGAAAGGCAAGGTCCACGAACCGCTGGTCTAGGTTTTAGGCTTTAGGGTGTATGGTTTTGCGGGTTTTGTTGAATCTTCATTTTTTTTGTTTTGTTTTGGGCGGGAGTGGGGGTGGGGTCTTGGGGTGGTTTGGGCTTGGGGGGTTTGAAGTTTGAAGGGTCGTGTTTCTTGACGGCTTTGACGATGCGCGGAGTCCACTGCACGGGCCCCGATGCAGATGATGCCCCGAAAGGCATGAAAGACATGTGCCCACGATGCCGACACACCGCAAGGATGCGCATCATCACCGGGTGTGAGGATGCGCATCATCATACTTATAAACCCAACATGAGTTGTAACTGCCCTTTGATTCTCCAAGGGTTCAGCAGCACGGACGCCACCCCGTAAAGTGTGGTAGCAGCATCGGACCGGATTTGCTTCAAATGCGTGGCGAAGGGGTCCTGTGTTGAGAGTCTGCGCCTGGGGTCTAGGGGCTTGACCTTGAGTTCGCCTGCAAGCGTGCGTGAGCGTCCGCGAGCATGCGCTCCTGACCGCAAATTAACCCAGGGAATGAGCCTTGAAGTACGCACCTAATTCTAAGGGAAGTTACGTGGGGTATGTAAGGGTTCCCCAATTAAGGGCCCCAATATTAAGCCTTACAAAACGAGAGATCCTCTGGGGGCTTTGACCATCTCGGGGGGCTTTGCAAGGGTGATCATGACGCGCCTCTTTTTGGCCGGGGTTGAGCTCTGGGTATGGGGGATGAGGGATCCTGGGTTTAGGATTTAGGGTTTTTGGTTCCCTCCTGCACAGTGGGTATGGGGGATGAGGGATCCTGGGTTTAGGACTCAGGGTTTTTGGTTCCCTCCTGCACAGTTGGGGCGAATCCGCATCGCAGAGCGAACAAGGGGGCTCGGCTTAGGGTTCGCGCAGACAAGTTTTGATAAGTTTCATATCACCAGAAACAGGAAGAGCGTCCAAGGGGTTCGGTTACCAAACGTACAAACACAGAAGATCCCACAGCGTCACAATCACCATGCAAGATCCATTCAGCAACAACGCACGGTCGTTTTCTGAAGGGTCTTCCAGGTGGTTCCTGGCGGCGTCTGGTGCATTCGGGGTGTTGTGGTGCTTCTGCGTGCGTTCAGAGTTCCAAGGAATGCTTCTAGGTAATGCTTTGATGAGAGGTGAAATCCCCCAAGCCCCGTGCGTGCCCACTCCGACACACCAACCTCGGAGCAAAAACACCTAAACTCCAACGGGCCTCCCCCCCACGCCCCACCCTGAATTCATCCCCCTACTTTTGCCCCCCAAAGCGTAAAACCCAAAGCCAAGGGTTAATTCGTGAACATACCATATAACTACCCTAGGACTGATCGCCCGAAAACGTCCAGCATGGATCTTACAGCGTGGATCTACTCTGAGCCCAGTGAAGGTACGAACGCACCATAACCCCCTTACTTTAGGGTTGATTTAGTCCTAGGGATCACGCGAACCCCCACATCCCCGAATTCCTAAACTCTATAAACCCTGTCCCCAAAATCCTGAACTCTAAGCCCTAACCCGAAACCCTAAACCCTAAGCCCTGAACCCTAAACCCTAAACCCCTAAACCCAAAAACCCTAACCCCTGAACTCCTGAACCCTAAGTCCAGTCCTATGAGAGAGGTTCATGGTACTTATTAACCAGTTATAACTGTACTTATATTCATATCAGGGCACTTAAAGGGGCTTAGAAGTGGGTTATAAGTTATAAGTACAGTTGTAATTGGTTTCTAAGTACCATGAACCTCCCTAAGCCCTAAGCCCAAGCCCTAAACCCTCAACCCTCAACCCTCAACCCTCAACCCTCAACCCTCAACCCTCAACCCTCAACCCTCAACCCTCAACCCTAAACCCTAAACCCTAAACCCTAAACCCTAAACCCTAAGACCTAAGACCTAAGCCCTAAACCCCCTAAATCCAAAACCCCTGAACCCCCCCAGTCCTATGAGAGAGGTGAGATGGTTGGCGTGGTTGGCGACTCCTGGACCCTTGACATCGACACCACCGAGGTGGAAGTTGGTCAAAAATACCCCTAACCCTAAACCCTAAACCCTAAACCCTAAACCCTGAACCCTAAACCCTAAACCCTAAACACCCTCAACCCTACACCGTAAACCATCCCTCAGGTCCAGCAGCTCGGGCTCCCTGGCCTGCTGAAGCGACCTTTTCCGCCTGTTTAGGGTTGAGGGTGTTTAGGGTTTTGGGTTTAGGGTATTTAGGGTATTTAGGGTATTTAGGGTATTTAGGGTATTTAGGGTATTTAGGGTATTTAGGGTATTTAGGGTATTTAGGGTATTTAGGGTATTTAGGGTATTTAGGGTATTTAGGGTATTTAGGGTATTTAGGGTATTTAGGTATTTAGGGTATTTAGGGTATTTAGGGTATTTAGGGTATTTAGGGTATTTAGGGTATTTAGGGTATTTAGGGTATTTAGGGCATTTAGGGCATTTAGGGCATTTATTTAGGGTATTTAGGGTATTTAGGGTATTTAGGGCATTTAGGGTATTTAGGGTATTTAGGGTATTTAGGGTATTTAGGGTATTTAGGGTATTTAGGGTATTTAGGGTATTTAGGGTATTTAGGGTATTTAGGGTATTTAGGGTTTAGGGTTTAGGGTTTTTTGTTTTTGTCTTCCGCCCTTGGGCTTTTTGGGGCTTCAGGGGGTGTGGGGAGTTCCGGGTCTAGGGTTTCGAGGGTGTAGGTTCTGGGGTTTGGGGAGTTTAGGGTTTAGGGATAGGGGTTGTTAGTGTTATCGGATTTTCTTGCCAGTACCCCTTAAACCATAGTAAGGATCCCTGTGTAACTTAAGGTATATTCCTCAAAAACCCTAAACCCTAAACCCTAAACCCTAAACCCTAAACCCTAAACCCTAAACCCTAAACCCTAAAAGATTATTCATCGTACCCTGTGCTTTTAGAACATGTCTCAAGGGTTTAATGCTTAGGGTATAGGGCTTCGGGCTTTCAGGTGCTTGAATCCTAAGTCAAGACTCCCTCTCCGCACCCCACTCACTGGCGACCCCAGGTTCCTGCCAGCCAACGAGCCCTCCGCGGAGCACGCGGAGTTCTTGTCCGAGAAGGCCGGGCTTAGGGTTTAGGGTTTAGGGTTTAGGGTTTAGGGTTTAGGGTTTAGGGTTTAGGGTTTAGGGTTTAGGGTTTAGGGTTCAGGGTTCAGGGTTCAGGGTTCAGGGTTCAGGGTTGTGGGTTGAGGGTTGAGGGTTGAGGGTTTAGGTTCTAGGGTTCAAGGTTTAGAGCTCAGGGTTTGGACCCCTGCGGTATAGCTACGTGAGACTGTTCTACTGCCAGAAGGTTAGTTTAGCATACACTCAAGGCGACTTCAGGGTGGTCTAAGGGTAGGACGAGGGGGGGGTTGGCTCCTGAGAGCCTCCTTGCCCGCTACCCTCCCTGAGTTCCTCCATGGACTACTGACTTGGTAGCTCCGTGGTGCCCCTGCACCCTCTTTTGTGGGGTTCGAGGTTTTCCTTATACAGGAACCAACACAAAAAAAGGGTGCCCTTAGTGTGAACCCTAAACCCTAAGCCCTAAGCCCTAAGCCCTAAACCCTAAACCCTAAACCCTAAACCCTAAACCCTAAACCCTAAACCAATATGGCTACTGGGCTGCCAAGCTGAGGTCAGGGGAACAGTGCAGTGGTTCCTCCACTCTGACCAATGGAAGCTGGCGATGTGCCCTGGCCCGAACGGGAGGTAGGTTGGTTCTCGAGTGGGTTTAGGGTTTAGGGTTTAGGGTTTAGGGTTTAGGGTTTAGGGTTTAGGGTTTAGGGTTCAGGGTTTAGGGTAATTGAGGGTTTAGGCTAATTGAGGGTTTAGGGTTTAGGGTTTCTAGGGTTTAGGGGTTGCGCCGGGGGTTAGAAACATGATCCCACCCAAGACCCCTCTTCAAAAGTAAAACTTCTGCGAGCAAGACCTGGGCATTTCCCAGCATAGTGGTACCCCGTTTACACCGTACATAGAATGGAATCCTCTTAAAGGGACCCCGAGAAAGGGTGCCCTATTTGTCTCATTTCTCTTCATGTCGCTGTCAGTTCTAGGTGTTCACCCTCCTGACCCAAATCCTTTGACAATCCAAAAACAATCTCTGGGTCTTGGCTTAGTATTTAGGGTTTAGGGTCAGCCCACTCTTCCGCGCAAGCCCCCAAAGCCCTGAAGCCCCAACGCCCGAGACCCCAAGCCCCCCAAACCCAAACCCAAACCCTAAACCCCAAACCCTAGCTATCTTTATTGTTGGGGGTCTTTCAGTATTCTTAGAGTAGTTTCACAGTATTCTTAGAGTAGTTTCATGGTCCCTTCACACCCTGCAACATCCCAAGGGCCAATACCCTTAGAAGTATATCGAAACGGAACTACTACAGCACGACTGGAGTGGGCACCGAAGCTCAACAGCGGAGGTTCCGCGGCAGCTACTACTTCAGTGGGAAGGGCTTCCAGAAGGTGGGGACGAACCCGGGTTGAGGGTTTAGGGTCTAGGGTTCAGGGTTTGAGGGTTGAGGGTTTGAGGGTTGAGGGTTTGAGGATTGAGACGCCCGATTAGGATTCGTAGGGTTTTGGCTTTTGGGTCCTGTACTGTACAGGCCGCAGGAGCTGCGCCCACCCTGGCAACATGTTTGAAGCCCTGAAGCCCCCACATGTGGGTTTAGGGTTTAGGGTTTAGGGTTTAGGGTTTAGGGTTTCTGGAGGTCGCCTATGTTTGCCTCCTGCTCGAGAAGTTTCATGGCACCGATCACGGGGAGACGCAGGCGCGAAGCACGGAAAGGGCGCAGGCCTCCACCATGACCCCAAATTCAGGTTTAGGGTTTAGGGTTTTGGGTTTTAGGGTGCAGGGTGTAGGGTTGCTCAATACCGTGCATACAACAAACAGGCATCATATGCCATGGAGGAGAGCCAACCTGCACATGATTCAGATCCGAAGCCCCCCCCCCCCACCCACAGGCACAGGGGTTGTTCGGTGTCAGCATCCCTCCTAGACTTATCGATGCTCATTTTTCACATAGGCTCCATGAAAATATCCACCCAAAAGCGACAAGCCCAAAATTCCTAAGACCCCAACCCCCTAAACCTCCTAAACCTCCTAAACCTCCTAAACCTCCTAAACCTCCTAAACCTCCTAAACCTCCTAAACCTCCTAAACCTCCTAAACCTCCTAAACCTCCTAAACCTCCTAAACCTCCTAAACCTCCTAAACCTCCTGAACCTCCTGAACCTCCTGAACCTCCTGAACCTCCTAAACCTCCTAAACCTCCTAGACCTCCTAAACCTCCTAAACCTCCTAAACCCCAAACCCCTCAAACCCCGGCGCATAGCCCGCGACAGGCCTGTGCCGAGATCTTGGCCAAGGGCTTCCGCCCCTTGGTGTGAGGCAGTGGGTTTAAAGGGGCCAAGAAGTTGGAGAGGCTGTGGGGGTTGAGGCTGTCAGGCTTAAAACCCTAATTCCCAAGCCCAAATCCCCAAAACCGCAAACCCTAAACCCTGAACCCTCAACCCTGATCCCTAAACCCTAAACCCTAAACCCTAAGCCCTAAACCCTAAACCCTGAACCCTGAGCCCTGAGCCCTGAGCCCTGAGCCCTGAGCCCTGAGCCCTGAGCCCTGAGCCCTGAGCCCTAACCCTAAACCCTAAACCCTAAACCCTAAACCCTAAACCCTAAACCCTAAACCCTAAACCCTAAACCCTAAACCCTAAACCCTAAACCCTAGAAGCCCCAAATGCCGAACCCGAAGCTGTGCAATCGCAGTGAATACCCGGAGAAACTTTGCGGTAGAGCTTGGCCGAGATGTTGCGCTGAGGTGTTTCACGATGGCTCTAACCCGATAAGCTCTAAATTGTGGGATGTTCCCCCTTAAACTAACAGTCCTGAATAGGGGTTTTAGTAGGGGGTACAAAAATCCCGATGAAGGACTGTCAGTATAAGGGGGAACATCCCAATCGAAATTCCCAAAGCCCTAAATCCCAAACCCTAAGACCCTAACAGCCTAAACCCCTAACCTCCTAAACTGAGGCGAAATCAGGGTCCCCTGAGATTACCCAAGCCCAAAGGCCCCAAACCTGGGAAAACATTACAAACCCAAACCCAAAACCGTTTACTCACCCTAAACCCTAAACCCTAAACCCTAAACCCGAAACCCGAAACCCTAAACCCTAAACCCTAAACCCTAAACCCCTAAACCGAAAAACCCCTAAACCCTAAACCCTAAACCCTAAACCCTAAACCCTAAACCCTAAACCCTAAACCCTAAACCCTAAACCCTAAACCCTAAACCCTAAACCCTAAACCCTAAACCAAAAAAACCCTAAACCCTAAACCCTAAACCCTTAACCCAAGACCATAAACGCTTAAGCCAAGGCTGCCTCTACGACAGGAGTCTGCTGGGATGCGATGGCGCTCCCATCGGCTCCTACTACGACGACTCCTGGGGAGGCATTGGGCTTAGGGTTTAGGGTTTAGGGTTTAGGGTTTAGGGTTTAGGGTTTAGGGTTTAGGGTTTAGGGTTTAGGGTTTAGGGTTTAGGTTGCAGGGTGTAGGGTTTGGGGATTATTTTGGGCTTGGTTCCCCAAAGGCCCGAACTCCTACGAAAGAAGTTGCTCAAACAAGCAGCCCAGCCTCCCCCACCAGTTCGTGATCACCCCGACACCCCAAACCCTAAACCCTGCAACCTAAACCCTAAACCCTAAACCCTAAACCCTAAACCCTAAACCCTAAACCCTAAACCCCAAGCCCTACAACTTAAACCCCAAGCCCACATGGCAAAATCTCGGAGAAGCCCGAGCCTTCGAAAGGCAAGTGATTCGGGGCTTTTTTGCATTGCTTCGTGTTTAGTCGTCATTTTGTCTTTTCATCTTGGGGTTATGACTCTCAGCCTAGCGCCCCCAAACCTTCAACCTAAACCCTGCACCCTAAACCCTAAACCCTAAACCCTAAACCCTAAACCCTAAACCCCTAAACCCCTAAACCCCTAAACCCTAAACCCCTAAACCCTAAACCCCTAAACCCTAAACCCTAAACCCCTACACCCTAAACCCTTTTAACCTTGAGCAGGAGTCGCCAGCCGTGAGGGCTATGGAGAACTCGGGTGCCGGGTCGCCGACTTCGGAAACGCATGCAACTCGAAGCATCGCTCTAATGGTGTGATGCGAGTTAGGGTTTAGGGTTAGGGTTTGGGGTTTAGGGTTTAGGGTTTGGGGTTTAGGGTTTAGGGTTTGGGGTTTGGGGTTTGGGGTGTGGGGTGTGGGGTGTGGGGTGTGGGGTGTGGGGTGTGGGGTGTAGGGTGTAGGGTGTAGGGTGTAGGTGTAGGGTTTCGGGTTTAGGGATTAAGGTTTAGCGTTTAGTCCGCGTTTGAGTTTAGATGGGCGACATGACAGTCAGCGGTTCTCGCCATCTTCATTCAGGAAAACTTTCGCTGTTTGATCTAGAATCTACATTATGGGGCCTCTTGGGGTACACGAAGCAGGCAGAGACCATAATCGAGACCCCCAAAGCACCCATTAGGGACTGAGTAGGTAACCTTTAACCTTTTGGGTTCTATAGAATCCGAGTACATCTACAAGGTTGATCTTAAATTTGGGCTAGGGCTAGCCCCTAAGTACACTACCAGACCCCTTGTGAACCCCTCCTGTCTTCTTGCTCTTAGTGGATGGACGCACTGGAGACCATAGGACCCGGATCCGGGGTGAAGTGACGAACACGTTCTCCTATAGACCCCCTTTTGGGGAATTGTTTTTGACCTTTTATCATATTCAACGCAAGGGAATATTACAAAAAGACAATGTTTGAAGGTTCAGTTTTCTTTATATGAAAAACCGAGGGAATATTAGGCATTTGCTTATTAAGGTTAACAGGGGAGTATAGTTCTCAGGCTACAATGACCACCACTACCACTTCAGCTACTACGTGGTCAGCGCCGCAATCCTCGTGAAGCTGAAGCCCGAGTACAGTAGCAATGGCCCCTTCGTGTCCTTTGTGGAAACGCTGACGCCTGACGCTGTCCAACCCTGAAGGGTTTCGGGTTTGGGGTTTAGGGTTGAATTAGGGTTTAGGGTTTGGGGTTTAGGGTTTAGCGTTTAGGGTTGTTTCCCTAAAGCCCTGAACCCTCCGAACCCTCCAAAAGCACCCCCCCCCCCCCCCCCTCCGCCAACCTTCCCGCCAAGTCCTCAGAGCCCGATCCGACATCCCAAGACCTGAGCCCTAAACCCTAAAAGTATCTGAGGGTAGTTTCATGGGCCCTTTATATGGTCCCTAACCTCCTTTAAAGGGGTATGTAAGGGGTACCCTTGAAGGGCCCATACTAAGGGACCATGTAGCTAGAAAGTAGCAGAGGCAGGGTTTACGGGTCCCGTCCTGTCTTAGGGCTTGACCTGGATCCCAGTACCTCTTGATGAAGGAATAAGCCGAACGCCATGTAGGTTTTTTTTTTTTTATTAGGGTTTTGGGTTTTGGGTTTTGGGTTCAAGGTTTAGGGTCTAGGGTTTAGGGTTTAGGGCCTAGGGTTTAGGGCTTCAGGGTTTAGGCTCTTACGATGGGGCTTGGCAGTGCTGGGAATATGGGGGGTGTGGGGGCTCTTGGTGAGTGGGGATCTTATGCGCACCATCAGCCTGGCAAGAGAGGGCTTCGAGGGTGCATGAACAAAAAGTGCTCCAAACTAGGAGTGTTCATAGTGGAATTCCTTCAGTTCTAATCCTAAGCCCTAAACCCAGAAAGTTCCCAATCTCTCTAAAGCCCCAAGCCCTAAAACCGCCGACTACTATTCGATATATATATATATATATATATATATATATTATTCATTTTTTTTTGGAGGGGGGGTTATGAAGCAAATAGTAGACCCTCTAAACCCTAAACCCTGAACCCTAATTCCGAAACCCTAAACCCCAAACCCTAAACCCTAAATTGCGCTATAAAGAGGGTTGAGGGTTGAGGGTGCAAGAGTGCCAGGGCTGGGGTTCTAGGCTTCCAGGCTTGAGGTTTAGGGTTGAGGGTTGAGGGTTTAGGGATGATCAGGGGCAAACCGATCAGGACGGCGTATGGGGGCGGATGGCACACAGCCTTCGGCAAAGGCCGTCGAACCCCCCTAGCCTTCGTCGAAACCCTTGGCCTTCGTCGAACCCCCCTCCCGGCCTTCGTCGAACCTCCGGCCTTCATTTAGCCTTCGTCGAACCCTCGCGTTTTTTTTCGGGCTTTGTCTTGGCCTTTTGTATCGGCCTTCGTCGAACCCCCTCCCCCTTCGTCGAACCTCCCGGCCTTCGTCGAACCTTCGCCCGGCCCCCCGGCCTTCGTCGAACTTCGTCTCGGCCCGTTGGTATCCCGAGTCTTCGTCGAAGTTCTCCGGCCATCCTGCTCTTCGGCCATCCTGATGTGTTTTCCCGGGTTTAGGGTTGAGGGTTTAGGGGTCTGGGGTCTAGGGCTCCAAGGCTTTAGGGCATCAGGCCTCTTCCCCCTCCTCTGAGATCCCACGGGGGGGGGGGATATCAGGATCCGGGACACAGCGAACCCGAGCCGGGCTGACGCGTGCCTTGCCAGGAGACTAACGGTTTAGGGTCTAGGGTCTCGGGTCTCGGGCCTGGGGTTTAGGGACTGGGTAGGTAATCGTTAACGTTTCTGGTTATAAAGAATCCTAGTACACATAAAAGGCCAGCCTTTTTGGGGCTGGGTAACCAGCCCCTTTGTGGTCCCCCCCCAAGGGTCCATGTACCCTCAGGTTATGCTTGAAGGTTCACGGGTAGCTATAAGAAGGGTTAGAAGTAGCCTTAACAAGGTTACAACCGTTTTTGACTCTATAAAACTTCCTAAGAACCTCCAAGTAGACTTGGGCCCCAAAGTCACTATAAGTATATGTATATATATATATATTTATTTATTTATTTCGACACACACACACACATATATATATATATATATATAAATATCTAACATTCTTTAAAGCCCAGACGTCACTTGCCAGAATCTGAGGTCTACAACGGTCCTTTGGGAAGAGGTTAGGGGACCTCTTTGGGGTCCCTAAACCTTAAACCCTAAACCCTAAACCCCTAAACCCTAAACCCTAAACCCTAAACCCTAAACCCTAAACCCTAAACCCTAAACCCTAAACCCTAAAACCCTAAACCCTAAACCCTAAACCCTAAACCCTAAACCCTAAACCCTAAACCCTAAACCGGGACCTCTTTGGGGTTGAGAATTTTCTCTTGGCGGTACATCCGCAGAAAAGTTAGGACCGGATGAAACACCAACACCTGCCTTGCATTCAATTCCCCCGCTTGCAGAAAGGTGTCCCTAAGAAGTAGCCCTAAACCCTAAACCCGAAACCCTAAACCCTAAACCCTTTACTCTAAACCCTTAACCCTAAACCCTTAACCGGAAAACCCTAAACCCTAAACCCTAATTAAACCCTAAACCCTAAACCCTGAACCCTAACCCAAAACCTAAACCCTAAACCCTAAGCCCTAAACCCTAAACCCTAAGAAGTAGCCGAAGAACCCCGAAGCTGTGCTTTCTGACCTCACATATTCAGCTCCTGACTAAGGTACTTTCCGACCTTCCGCGCGTTCGACTGGTTTGACCTGCACCTCAGTTCAAGCCAAACCCTAAACCATAACCCCTAAGCCCGAAACCCTATACCTGTCGTGTGTTGGGGGGAGGGGGTTGGGGTCTTCTGGTCTTTGAAAACAAATATGTCCGCCCGCCCCTTTACCTAAGGGTTAAGGGCTCCCCCCCCCCCCCCCCCCTCCCTTGCAAATGCAGCTCAGCTGCCGCATCTCCGTACTCGCCTGCACTTTTGTTTTCTTTCGGAGGTAGGGTTTAGGGTGTAGGGTTTAGGGACTTGTTGCATGATGGTTCTCAAACCAAATGGAAAAAGAGAGGGCCTGGCTTGAATGATCTACAACCGTTTTATTGGTGCCAGCCTTAAAGTCGAATCCCTAAACTCGGCCCTCAGCGCGTATGAGCCTGAAACCGTGAGCGAACCCTGCACCCTAAGCCCAAAAAAGGCCCTGAAGGCCTTAAAGGGCCCATAAAGGCCCTAAAGGCCTAAGCCCTAAACCCTAAACCCTGAACCCTAAACCCCAAAACCTAAACCCTAAACCCTAAAGGGCCCTGAAGGGCCCTAAAGCTCCTAACGCTCCTAAAGGCCCAAAAGGGCCAAAAAGCCCTAGGCACTCCTGGAGCCGTGGCGTCGTCCCGAGTGCCGATGGCAAAGA